GACAAAGACCCGGAAAACCGGGCCTTTAAAACGGATTTAAACTTTCCAAAGGTGTGACTCTGGAGACAGCTCTCACAGAGTTCGCCCATGCACTCTGCCTTTCCAATAAACGTTTTACGTCTCTCTTTACCTTCTACCTCCTCATCAGAACTTCTTATCTCGGTAGGCAAGGACTGGGGATTTAGGCCCTAGCTGCTGGCCTCTCTGGTTTAACAGTTAGGATTCCTGGTCAGGGAACTAAGGTCTGGATTCCAGCTCACTACTGCTGCTTACTGTAAGATACCGCTCCCTGCTGCGTGCATCCAAAATCAATGGGGCTTGGGTATACTGATTTCCTGAGACAGTCCACATACTCACAGACTTGCCAAGCATGCAAAGCTACAGCTCCAGGGCAGGGGGAAGGCAAGGAAGTGCTCAGAGGCAATCTAAAGGACTGGGACTCAGTTCAGTTCAGCTCAGTTGCTCAGTCGTATCCGACTTTTTGAGACCCCATGAACCGCAACACGCCAGGCCTCCCTGTCCATCACCAACTCCTGGAGTTTACCCAAACTCATGTCCATTGAGTCGGTGATGCCATCCAACCATCTCATCCTCTGTTGTTCCCTTCTCCTCCTGTCCTCAATCTTTCCCAGTATCAGGGTCTTTTCCAATGAGTCAACTCTTTGCATGAGGTGGCCAAAGTATTAGAGTTTCAGCTTCAGCATCAGTCCTTCCAATGAACACCCAGGGCTGATCTCCTTTAGAATGGACTGGTTGGATCTCCTTGAAGTCCAAGGGACTCTCAAGAGTCTTCTCCAACACCACAGTTCAAAAGCATCAATTCTTTGGTGCTCAGCCTTCTTCACAGTCCAACTCTCACATCCATACATGACCACGGGAAAAACCATAGCCTTGACCAGATGAATCTTTGTTGGTAAAGTAATGTCTCTGCTTTTTAATATGCTATCTAGGTTGGTCATAACTTTGCTTCCAAGGAGTAAGCGTCTCTTAATTTCATGGCTGCAGTCACCATCTGCAGTGATTTTGGAGCCCAAAAGAAAAAAGTCTGACACTGTTTCCATTGTCTTCCCATCTATTTCCCATGAGGTGATGGGACCAGATTCCATGATCTTAGTTTTCTGAATGTTAAGCTTTAAGCCAACTTTTTCACTCTCTTCTTTCACTTTCATCAAGAGGCTTTTTAGTTCCTCTCCACTTTCTGCCATAAGGGTGGTGTCATCTGCATATCTGAGGTTATTGATATTTCTCCCTGAAACCTTGATTCCAGTTTGTGCTTCTTCCAGCTCAGCGTTTCTCATGATGTACTCTGCATATAAGTTAAATAAGCAGGGTGACAATATACAGCCTTGACATACTCCTTTTCCTATTTGGAACCAGTCTGTTGTTCCATGTCCAGTTCTAACTGTTGCTTCCTGACCTGCATACAGGTGTCTCAACAGGCAGGTAAGGTGGTCTGGCATTCCCATCTCCTTCAGAATTTTCCACACTTTATTGTGATCTACACAGTCAAAGGCTTTGGCATAGTCAATAAAGCAGAAATAGATGTTTTTCTGGAACTCTCTTGCTTTTTCAATGATCCAGCAAATGTTGGCACTGTGATTTCTGGTTTCTCTGCTTTTTCTAAAACCAGCTTGAACATCTGGAAGTTCATGGTTCACATATTGCTGAAGCTTGGCTTGGAGAATTTTGAGCATTACTTTACTAGCGTGTGAGATGAGTGCAATTGTGCAGTAGTCTGAGCATTCTTTGGCATTGCCTTTCTTTGGGATTGGAATGAAAACTGACCTTTTCCAGACCTGTGGCCACTGCTGAGTTTTCCAAATATGCTGACATATTGAGTGCAGCACTTTCACAGCATCATCTTTTAGGATTTGAAATAGCTCAACTGGAATTCCATCACCTCCACTAGCTTTGTTTGTAGTGATGCTTCCTAAGTCCCACTTGACTTCACATTCCAGGATGTTTGGCCCTAGGTGAGTGTGAGTGATCACACCATCGTGATTATCTGGGTCATGAAGATTTTTTTTTGTACAGTTCTTCTGTGTATTCTTGCCCCCTCTTCTTAATATCTTCTGCTTCTGTGAGGTCCATACCATTTCTGTTCTATATTGAGCCCATCTTTGCATGAAATGTTCCCTTAGTATCTCTAATTTTCTTGAAGAGATCTCTAGTCTTTCCCATTCTACTGTTTTCCTCTATTTCTTTGCAGTGATCGCTGAGGAAGACTTTCTTATCTCTCCTTGCTATTCTGTGGAATTCTGCATTCAAATAGGTATATCTTTCCTTTTCTCCTTTGCTTTTCTTTTATCTTCTTTTCACAGCTAGTTGTAAGGCCTCTTCAGACAGCCATTTTGCTTTTTTGCATTTCTTTTTCTTGGGGATGGTCTTGATTCCTGTCTCCTGTACAATGTCATGAACCTCTGTCCATAGTTCATTAGGCTCTCTGTCTATCAGATCTAGTCCCTTAAATCTATTTCTCACTTCTACTGTATAGTCATAAGGGATTTGACTAGGGCAGTGTTTAATCAGGAACTGAGACTAAAGGGATTGTTAAGGAAACTTCATGCTAAGAAGCAGCAGTATCTGAGAAGGGGGTTGAGATTCCAGGCTTTGGCGTCAGATCTGGGGTTCCTGTCCCAATCCTGCTGAGTGACACTGGGCAAGTGACAGATGCTCTCAGGCTCAGTTCTGCCCCTCTGTGAATGGAGACAATACCTACCTCCTGGGGCTGGTGATGAAAAGGGAAGAATCCACATGAAGCTCTCAGCACCATGTCTCGCACATTCCAAGCAACCAATAAAGATAACCATTATGAGTATCATGCAGTTCACACTTCAGATCAGTTCAGTCGCTCAGTTGTGTCTGGCTCTTTGCAACCCCATGGACTGCAGCACACTAGACTTCCCTGTCCATCACCAACTCCCAGAGCTTGCTCAAACTCATGTCCTTTGAGTCCTTTCATGCCATCCAACCATCTCATCCTCTGTTGTCCCCTTCTCCTCCTGCCTCAATCTTTTGCAGCATCAGGGTCTTTTCTAGTGAGTCAGTTCACACTTCAAATGCATTTATATAGTAACAGCTCTTTTAGGGCTCACAGATAAGGAAAACAAAGACACAAAGATACATGCAATTTGACTGCTTGGGGCCACAATGCAGGGTTCTCATCCCTTCAGTGTAGTGTTTCCCCTCTGGATACATTGCATTGAAGAATGTATAGTATTGGTCTGGCACTTAGTAAATGGAGGCCAGTGCTGTACATTTTCTCTAGTGGTCATGTATGGATGTGAGAGTTGGACCAGAAAGAAGGCTGAGCACCAAAGAATTGATGCTTTATTTTTTCTTTTTTTTTTCCATTTATTTTTATTAGTTGGAGGCTAATTACTTTACAATATTGTAGTGGTTTTTGCCATACATTGACATGAATCATCCAGGGATTTACATGTGTTCCCCATCCTGAACCTCCCTCCCACCTCCATCCCAGAATTGATGCTTTTGAACTGTGGTGCTGGAGAAGACTCTTGAGAGTCCCTTGGACTGCAGAGATCAAACCAGTGAATTCTAAAGGAAGTCAACCTTGAATATTCATTGGAAGGACTGATGCTGAAGTTGAAGGTCTAATACTTCGACCACCTGATGGTAAGAGCTGACTCATTGGAAAAGGCCCTGATGCTGGGAAAGATTGAGGGCAAAAGGAGAAGGGGGCGGCAGCTGAAGAGATGGGTGAGATAGCATCACTGGCTCAATGGACAAGAATTTGAGCAAACTCCAGGAGATGGTGGAAAACAGGAAAACCTGGCATGCTGCAGTCCATGGGGTCACAGAGTTGGACACAACTTAGCAACTGAACAACTGAACAACAACAACAACAAAAGGAAGCCATTCATTGCAGATAGAGAGACTCACTGCCTGATGTTTCTCTTTGCGGGGCCAGGAAAATAGAGACCTTGATGGCTCATTGCTTGCTGGGCCTTAGAGAAGGACATGAAAGGCCTTAAGGGAAACTGCATAGGTCACAACTGCCTCCATCAGCCAACCTCACCTTGGGAGTGTTCCCAGGAAGGTGCGAGGTGTTACAAGCTTCACAGAGTCTGAGTTTCTAGAAGCAGCAAGCTTCATTAAATGTAAATACCAGCAGCCTTCTAGTGTCAAGTTCCCCCCACACCTTGGAAGGAGCCACACAGTGAAGGAGGCGGGCTTTGCAGAGGAATGATCATGTTCCTAAAACTTGTCTTTTGTTTCTTCTGGGGAGTGGAGTTCTTGGGACATTGGTCCCATTTGGTTCCGGCTGACTTAGGACTCTAGAAAACAACTTTCTCTTCACCTGGACACGGAGAGGGACAGTTAGGGGTAGGGGCAGCCCTGTGGAGGGAGAGGTCTGCCCTCGCCACTGCCGATGAGTCAGATGTGAGGCCAGCTCCAGCATCTGGACTAATTTGTCCTGAGCCGAGCGGCCGGCTGCCTGCCACATCCTCCCCTCCCGCCCTTATTTGGAGCCCTGACAGCTGAGCGGCAAAGCACCAGGGGAGCTGGGCGCCCGCCAGCTGTCACCCTCTGCTTCCCCGCATGAGTCCCGTTGCCGAGGAGAAAGAAACCCGAGGCATCGCTGTGAGATAACCAAGGACTCTTTTTTGCTCTTCTCACACCTTTGAAGTGGGAACCTCTTGAGGCAAATCAACAAGAATGTGGCTCCTGCAGCTGAGGGTCCCGGGGGTTGTCGGGGCTGCTCAAGGCAGAGGGGCTGTGACGAGCAGGCTGAACTGATAACTTTAAAAGGGCATCTTCTGCTGCTTCCTCACTCAGCTGCTTTATCACTGCAAGTGACAGAATGCGGAGGGTTCCGTCCCTCTCCCGGACGAGCTCCCGGAGAGCCAGGGGGCTATAAAAAGAGGAAGCGCAGGGCAGCTGGGAGACAGAGGCAGACAAAGGCCAAGGGTGGAAGGCCAGAGAGAACAGAGAGGAGGCAGCAGCACCAGACCGACCATTCCTTGACCGACGCCAGCATGGGCTCCTCCGCCATCACCGCGAGCTTCCTCCTCTTCCTGGCGTTTCAGCTCCCAGGGCAAACAGGAGCAAATCCTGTGTATGGCTCTGTGTCCAACGCAGACCTGATGGATTTCAAGGTAGGGCCAGGAAAGTGGCACGGTCTGGGATGAGGGGGTTGTGACATTGTGCCAGGCAGTGAGACCTCTCCCTTTCCCTCTTTTCCTTTTGTAAAGAATTTGCTGGACCATTTGGAGGACAAGATGCCTTTAGAAGATGAGGCTGTGCCCTCCCAAGTACTAAGTGAGCAGAACGAAGAAACTGGGGCCCCTCTCAGCCCCCTTTCAGAGGTGCCTCCCTGGATGGGGGAGGTCAACCCAGCCCAGAGAGATGGGGGCACCCTCGGGCGGGGCCCCTGGGAGTCCTCCGATAGATCTACCCTCCTGAAGAGCAAGCTGAGAGCACTGCTCACTGCCCCTCGGAGCCTGCGGAGGTCCAGCTGCTTCGGGGGCAGGATGGACAGGATTGGAGCCCAGAGTGGACTGGGCTGCAACAGCTTCCGGGTAAGAGGACCTGAGGATGGAAATGGGATGGGGAGGAAGGAAATTGTGGTTTTGCTGAAGTTCAAACCTTGTGAAAGAACACCGCCAGGGGATGCCTTCAGCAGGAAAGGGACAGCATAGAAGCAATCCCTTTGAAATTTCTGCCCCAACTTGGCAGGGAGGGGGATGTGCTCTGAGACAATGATACCAACCTCAGGTACAGTTTGCTGAGAAAATGCTAAGAAAAAAAGACTTTACTGTCATGAGCACTGGGGACTTAAATGGTTCATGGGGCCAAGTCACCTGTGCTTTGCTGATTGGTAGTTTGTGTCCTTTGCAGAATCATCAGATCCCAAAGGATTGAAATTTAGCAGGACTGACTTTACTAGCTCCTAATGGGCAATTTGTTTACCAGTTTATAGAAGTCAGAGGGTCATCAGGCTGGAGTGGAGGCTGGTGGGAAGGGAGCAAAGTCTGATGAAGCTGGCTTTTCTGGTGGAGTCAGGTCACCAAACCAAACATGTCTCTGCTCTCTTGTAGTATCGAAGATAATGGCCAGGGAGGAAAAGGCAGGCCAGGCCCCAGGCAGTCTTCAAGAGAATCCCCGGGGGTCTCTCACTCAACTTTGTCGCATCTGGTTGCCATCAAGTTGAGTTGTGACAAGCGTTCTATTCAAGCATCAGCTTCCTGTCAACATTTCTCACATTTTATGCTAAATGTAGATAAAGTGATTTAACTGTGGCTTCTCCACCTCTCCCACCCATGTTAAGTTTTAATCACCTGTTACCAACATCAGTTTGAAGATGAATAAACTTCAGCACCATGGACAGAAGCAGTAGGCTCGGGTTGGTATGATTTTTTTCATTTCTGGAAGGGAGTTCAGCCTGATATTCCTTGTCATTTTACTTTTTGTTGGAGAGAAGAATGCTCAGTTCCTTTTTTATTCTTTTTTTTTAAGGAATTAACTAGTTTGGGGGAGCAGTTTTAGGTTCACAGCAAAATTAACAGAAAGCAGAGACTCCGTACATACCCCTGCCCACCCCACGTTCACATCCTCTTCCATGACCAACATCCCCACCAGAGTGTGACACTTGTTACCTTTGATGAACCTACACTGACTCATCATAATCACCCAACATCTGTAGTTCACATCGTGTTCATCCTTGGTGGTGTGTAGATTTGGACAACTTCGGCTTCCTGTCATTTCTCCCTCCAAATGTGTGTGTGTTTAGTGGGTAGAAGCTCAAACTGCAGCTCTCTACTTGCTCTCACTCACACTGCAGCCTCACCACTGATTCTGAAAAAGTCCTAGGAGACCAAAAGGGCCTTTATCTTTATTCAGACTTGCTCACATTCAGAGCACTTAGGTATTGAAAAGAGAACTTACAAACATTTGGGCTTTTTTCTTGATTACATCTAAACTATCTTGTCCTCAGTATGACACTTTTGTACACCTAGTATTATTTGGTTATGGTTATTCTTTTTTTAGAGGGGCATATATGAAATCAGGACCCTAACTTTTCTCTGACACCTTTTGAGAGTTAGTGTGGCAGCTGAGTGAATTGCACTTTTGTTCTTCCTCAGCAATTCTTTGAAGAATAGGCAGAATATTTGGGCTTAAAAGCTGAGCAAAATGAAGAAAGGAATGTTTGCTGTGCTGACATACTTCAACTTCATGCATCTTTTGGGCACTAAATTTAAAAATTAGCCACTGGCTTTCCCAAATTCATGTTCAAGGTGTTTGGATTTGCATGTTTTACTGAGGTGGGAGTCACTGAAGAGGTAGTTTCTTTGTATCTGCTTCTGAAACGGGTGTTGCCCTGGTTTACCTGCACTGGGGAGCAGGGCTCCAAGCCATCTCCCCACCCATTACCCCTGACACCACACTCCAGTATCAGATTTTATGACATTCCTCCAACACTCCTACACCTTCACTTCCCCATGCCTTTATTCATGCTGTTCCATGTAGATTCCCTTTATCCAGAGCTCTCCACCTCTCCCAAACATTTTACTCATTTCTCAAGCTCATTAAGAATGCTACTTCTTCCCTGAAGCCTTCCAGGGTACCACATGCCCAGGACAGATCAAGCTTTTCACTGGCAGCATTTTATAACTATTACCAGTCACCACAACATGGCTGGGTATACTACTGGGTCTGTGTCCCTGATCTGCAAGCTCCTGGAGGGAAACGCCCCTTCAGCAGGCCCTGCAGCACGTGGCACAGCGGGCACTCTACATATAATTGGCCAGATTGTACAGAAACTGAGAAAAGAGGAAGTAAAGTAGTAATATGCTCCGTGTAGAGTGAGGGGGAGGCCAGGAGAGAACTGATGGTTAGTCAGGGAGGGAGGGAAAGAACTCTAAGGTAACTGCTTCTGAAAAAGATGTTCCTTGTGTGGATTTTGAATGCAGAGGGTGGAAAACTAACAACAGAGGACTAACAAGGACCAGTAGGGTGGAGAGAAAGGAAGAAGCGTCTGGCTCCTGAGGGCTGGCACTAGGGGAGCAGGGGGGAGCTGGGCTCACTGCCAAAGTGTCACAGTGACACAGCAGGTTCTCATGGGTGGGATTGACTGAACGTGCCAAATACATGAGACGCCCCTGGAACTTAGAGGACACTGGGGAATGGGTGGAAGGGGTGATGAGTTGCGGGAGGGACAGGTTGAAGCAGGGATGGGTGAAGGGGTGATGGGTGAGGGAGGCTGCATGGAGGGGCCTGAGTAGACTGAGGCTGTTTCTGCCACTGTGCTTAGTTGCTCAGTCCTGGCCGACTCTGCGACCCCATGGATTGTAGCCTGCCAGACTCCTCTGCTCGTGGGATTCTCTAGGCAAGAATACTGGAGTGGGCTGCCATGCCATCTTCCAGGGGATCGTCCCAACCCAGGGATCGAACCCAGGTCTCCTGCACCGCAGGCAGATTCTTTACCATCTGAGCCACCAGGGAAGTCCAGCCAGTGTTTCTGCCACCGGGGGAAAGCAACTCGAAGCAGATCACCCAGAGACCAAGAAATCACATTTCAGGCAAAACAAAATGTGACCCAAAATCCCTGGGAGGTGGCAGCGATAGAGGCTGGCACCAAGGTCTGCAAGTCCTTAGGCCCAGCACTGGGTCCATTTCTTCTGGTTGGACACTGGGGGAATCTGCCCGCGAGGCCGTATCCTAAATGAAACACTGGCAGGAACTGAATGGATTCTCTAGCAGCTGCTGTGTGAGGGAGTGCCTGTGAGGACAGGCGATTTTATAGGTGGAAAGGACCTGTGAACAAGCCCACCAGTGTTGATCTGAAGCAGGGACAGGGCAAGGCGACTGCTGTGGTTTTTGCTGAGACCCACAGGACTAAGTGGTTCTTACGTTAAGGTGCCAAATGGCCCCCTGAGGATGAACAGTCCTGCTGGGAGAGCTACAGACCTGAGGCTATACACCCCTCTCCAGCTTTGCATCGTGTATGTGTTAGAGAGGGGGGAGGAATGAAATGAAAACAAGTCCTCACCACACTAAAGAAAGAGCACTGTGGAGACAAAAGGATGATGGAGACGGATGGAGACGTTTTATTCTGACAGGTTACTGTTACGATGAGAACCTCCAAGTTCCAAGAGTTCAAATGAAAATAGAACTTTACAAATTAAAAAAAAATACAATTTATATACACCATAGAATTAGCTAACGTTACTGTATAATCAAACAGTGCAAATGGAAAGAAGGAAGCTGCTACTGATGAGATGACCAAGGTCCATGAGCTGTGGTGTAACACTGCACATCAATACTGTGGGGCCGCCAGGGTGCTGCTGGCCTTCCCGTAGGCCTTTTCATCCCCGAGGGCCTTGTCAGTGCGTGACTTTGCATCAGAAATGTCATATGGTCAGCTGGGCCAAGCAAGCAAGTGTCCATTCCAGCCAGGAACCGTTAATGAAACGTAGCTGTTTTTATTGTTCAGTTGCTGAGTCGTGTCTTGTCTCTTTACGCTGCCATGGACTGCAGCACACCAGGCTCCCCTGTCCTTCACTATCTCCCAGAGTTTGCTCAGATGCATGTCCATTGAGTTGGTGATGCCATCCAACCGTCTCATCCTCTGTGGTCGTGAGCAGTTATTTCCCAGAGCACAAAGATCCCTCAGTGGGGTGGGACTTGCTTCCTCCCCTGTCACCTTGGCCGGGGAAACATGAAACCACCTCTAGTCAATCCCAGGCTTGGCCCCTGAGAATCTATTGAGGGGCCACATCCCTGGGAGGTGACTGTACTAGAAACAGGCACGATGTTGAAATGAGGGTTTCTAACTAACAGAAATCAAAGGAATGAGGCTGACACTTAACTGTGTTACAAGTGGAGCTGTGCGTCTTTGGGCTTGTCTGTAAAGGGCAGACGCCAGGAGAGGACAGAAAATGACGTGCCATTCCAGAGGGGCTGGGTCTGGGTCTGATGCATCTGTTCAGGGGCAGGGAGGGAGGTGTCTGCATTCTGCTATCTCTGGGCTGCACCAATGGGAACAAAGTATCAGGTGACTTAAACACAACATGGTGTGCGGGAGGGATAAATTTCAACAACACTCGCCCAGGGCAGCCTCTGGGCCAGCAGTGTGACCCTGCCCCCTGAAGGTGGGAGGACCTCAGTCCTGCCTATTTCAGGAAGGGAAGAGCGGCAGCAAGAGGGGAGCGGGTTCCAGTTCCGGATGCTGCCTGAGAACAGTGGCAGCTGGCTGAACACCATCACACTTAGGGGGGCTTGCTCTTTTGGTCCTGGTGAGTTTCTCAATTATTTACTAGAACGTTCATCTGTGTTTCATAAGTCAAGTGCACCCAAGGGAGTCAAAAAATTTATGTCAAAGTCATGTTGATGAAAGAGATGAGAGAACAGGAAGAACAGAGGGGCCCTAGTCACCGGGGATGATGTGGAAACAGCCCCTGGGTGCAGGTGTTGTTCCCTAGAGTGCGTGGAGCACAAGACCAGAGCTGGCAGAGCAGGGCGGGTACTCGTCCCCAGGCTGAACTCGTCTTGGCAACAAACTTGGAGGCTCAGGGGAGAGAAGAGCCTTGCTGGGGCCTGGCACTGATGCCCTCTGGCAACTTACATGATTAAAAAAATGGGAACAACTAACTAAATGCAAACAAATGCCATCTTGAGTCTTTAAGCACATCTGCTGTGGGGCTGTCTAATGGGATGGGAGGGAGGGAGGCTCCAGAGAGGGGACTGTATGTATATGCATATAATTATGACTTATTTGAGCTGTTGTATGGCAGAGACCAACACAACATTATAAAGCAATTATCTTCCAATTAAAAAAAAAGATGCTGCTGAACGTAGAGAGAACAAAGAGGAAAGTAAGTGCAAATGCCTGACACCCAGATGCTCATTCTGGGTGCCTGTTCAGAGATGATCAAACAGCCGGGAGGGAAACTGAGTCACAGAAACAGAGAGGGAGGCTTCCTATGTCTGACGCTAAAACCTTGGGGCATGAGCTGGCAGGAAGCACCTCCCCCTACCCACTGCTAACCCCTCCTGAGGTTGCCGCTGCTGAAGCCCTCGGGAGGGTGGGGACGGCCAGCAGCAGGTAGGTGCAAGATGCTTATGAAGGGAAGACACCCTCTTGCTCGAATGAACACCTCCTGTGCGGTCACACTCGCTTTCTCAGCCACATCACGGACCTGTCCGCATTCCTGGTTCAGGATTCACTCCCTCCCATCTTATGAATAACGGCACTGTTCCCCAGGGTCAAGTGAAGCAGTTTTATCTAAGGGAGCCCTGCTTTTAGGGGTGATGAAAGGTCCTCTGGGCTGTGGCTGCTTCACCACAAAAAGGCAGGTAGAACTTGAGGGACATTTAGTAATTTGATGGAGGAGAAAGACTGGGGTGAAAACGTGGCACAAGGAGACCATGGGTAATCGAGAAATTAGAGAGAAAGCCGAAATGCTCAAAGCTAGGACAGGTGGAAATCTGACCCTGTCGTCAGCTTTATCATAAAGTTCAGAGACCACGAGCAGGATGTGAACGCTTTGTGCTTCTGGAGCTGGTGGTTCCAGGGAGGTTCACACCACAGGGGCCCCACCTTACACCCAGAAGAACTTCCCTTAAAATGAACTAGTGAAGGTGTCAACTTGAGTCCCAGTGAGGTGCGGGGGGTGCTCTCTGAAACGTGGGTGGTTTTCTCAGGGCCCAATTCCTCATTCACTGAATTCTGCAACTGGCATATCTCCCCCAACCCCAGTGTTTACGTTGGTCAAAGCCCCTCCCATGATGCTTTAAGGCAACAGCTGGGTTCCCTAGGAAAGTGGCAAAGAGGAGGCTGGTCACCTGCTCTGAGGGTCACCCTTCAGCAGGAGAGGCCTGACTCCCCTCTGGTCCTGGTGCTAGCGGGGAGGGGGGCTGGGGCCTGGCTCAGCACTGGATGGAGGAACGCAGGGAGCAGAAAACGGGAAGATACTTGCTGAGCAGTCAGACAAGTCCAGGCTCTGATGGTCCCATACCACCCCCAGATCTCTGATGGCAAAGTGTTCGATGACTGTAGGCTTTCCAAGCGAGTGGGTGACTGGGGATCTTCCATAACCGGGAACAGTCCAGCCAGCTGTGGTGGCGGAGCCCGAGCTGCTGCCCCCCAAGGCGGCTTCCAGCGAGGACAGCCGACACGCGGCAATGAGGCGGAGCCCGGCCGTCAGAGGGTCTGGTAGTGCTGCCGCAGCCGGGCCTGCAGAAACTCATGCGTCAGGTTGTGTCGTGTGATGACCCCCACGATCTAGGACCAGGAAGAAAAGACCAAAGTCACCTGCAGAGTGAAACCCACTGGGACAAGAACTGACTGACAGGAGTGAACAGAGCTTGCCCAGCCTGTCTCAGGTGGCAGGGCCAGAATCAGGTCCTGGAAGGACCAGGGCAGACTCGACAACACGATCAGGACACTCGTTCTAAAGGGCACCTCATTTCTAGATGGAAATGAGATATAGAGAAAGCTCGGGATTGCAAGCTGGAGGCCAATGGGACAAATTCAGCCACAGAGATTTGAGCTTGGGCCAGCTGGAATCTGGACACGAATGTCTTCTTAAGCAGAGCTCACGGTCTGTAGCTTCACAGCCACCACACCCAGCTGGCATCACCATTCAGAACTACCTGAGTCACTGTGATATTAGATTTATAGTAAGAAAAATATATTTGGTCATCACCCTAGTTTCTGGCACAAAACTCTTAAAACTCAGCACTTCCTAAGTGGTGAATAATAAGGGTGTCTTGTTATTCACAACAAGCCCCTTTCAACTGCACCTGAGTTATGCTAATGATGTCACTTCTAGGAAGCCTTTAAGGATGGAGGTTGGTTTTTCAGGGAACCAAGTGTATGACTAGAGGATTGGAGCTGTCAGCCCTACCTCCCTGGTGGGGTGGGGGGAGGGGGCAGTGGGAAATGTTGAATCCATTGCCAATGGCCAAAGATGTAACCAACCACACCTGTGTCATGAAGCCTCTATTAAACCTGAACCATAGGGTTTGAAGAGCGTCCAGGCTGGTAAACCTGTGAGGTGATAGCAGGGTGCCCAGCCTGCCAGAGAAGAGGTAGGGCTCAGCTTCCCTTCCCCCATCCCCTGCCGTGTGTACCTCTTCCATCTGCCCATTCCAGGTTATGGACTACAATCTATTATAAAAGAATATGAGGCAGGGGGTTGGGGGGGAGTGGGGGGGGGGCTTTCCTGGTGGCTCTGTGGTATCTGCCTGCCAGTGCAGGAGACATGGGCTCAATCCTTGGTCTGGGAAGATCCCACATGCCATGGATTAGCTAAGCCCATGAACCACAAGCACTGAACATGTGCTCTAGAGCCCAGAAGCCGCAACCACTGAATCCCACCTGGCTAGAGCCTGTATTCTGCACAAGAGAAGCCACTGTAATGAGAAGCCCATGCCCCACAACTAGAGTAGCCCCTCGCTCACCACAAACAGAAAAGCCTGTGCAGCAACAAAGACCCAGCACAGCCAATAAATAAATAAATAATGGATGAATGAATGAGTAAATAAATGACTGAATGAATAAGGAAATTAATGAAAGAATATGAGTAACTGTTTCTCTGAATTCTGTGAGCAGGGTGTCATAGGAATCTCCTCTTTATAGCCAGTCAGTTAGGAACACAGGTGACAACCTAGACTTTTGACTGAGAACTGAGGTGGGGGAGGGGGGTAGGGTGAACAGTCTTGTGGGGCTGAGCTCTTAACCTGAGGTCAGGACTGAAATGAGTTGAGGACACCCAACTGGTGTCCAGAGAACTGCTTTGTGTAGGAAACTCACCCTCCTCCCCAATCCACCGACAGAAGCTCAGCAGAGCAGGAGAATCCAGAAAACCAGGGGGTTCCCACAGTCACTGCAGTGACTCACATCTCACTGGGGTGGGTGCCTCAGAACTGTCAGCGCAGCTGTGTTCCAAGGAACACGATTCCACCTCCAGCCACTAAACACATGTAAGTGCATGCGTGCTATCGGGGTTCTGCTGGGTGACCCTCACTTTGGAGAGGTGTCATTTCCTGCAAGGCACCTAGGGGGCACTGACTGAAAGGCTCAGAAAGGTGACCATTACAGTGACTGTGAAAAAAAAACCTGCTTGTAAGGCTGGAGACAGGGCAGGAGATCTGTGTCAGGAAGATCCCTTGGAGAAGGAAATGGCAACCCACTCCAGTATTCTTGCCTGGGAAATCCCATGGACAGAGGAGCCTGGCAGGCTACAGTCCATGGGGTCACAAAGAGTCGGACACGGCTGTGTGAATAACACACTCATGTTTTCACTTTCACAGTGAAATTTAACTAAACATCCCACCACAGAGAACTGAGTGAGTGACCAGGCAGCCATGCAACAGAATGCTCTTGAGCCGTTAAAATGTCCTAAATAAATACTTTTTGCCGTGGAAAGTCATTTCCCATAGATTCATTGAAAAATTAAGATATTAAACAGTACAGGCAGTGGTAATATTTTCACTGAAACCTGAATAACGTCTCTTAATCCTAGATGCAGAGGAAAAAACAAGAGATACTTTAAAAAGTTAACATGGCTGCCTCTACAGAGATAAGGGCTTGCCATCTCTTGCTGTTTATCTATAGTTTCACACTTTTCTACAAATACCAATGTTGCTGTAGTAAGAAAAAAAATGGAGTTCTAAGAAGAAAAAAATGGAAAAATCTGTAATAACTATGTAGTTTACCTTTTAATACTTTGAGTAGTTTACCTGAAATTTTCTCATTTAGTGTTACAAATTCCCGTAACAGGTAGGGAACTGACCCCCTTCCCGTAAGGTGGCACCATGAAGTCCAATGAAAAGAGGAAGATTTTAGGATACAGAGAGGTTTGTTGTTTAGTTGCTAAGCTATGTCCGACTCTTGTGAGTCCATGGACTGTAGCCTGCCAGGATCCTCTGTCCATGGAATTCTCCAGGCAAGAATACTGGAGTGGGTTGCCATTTCCTTCTCCAGGGGATCTGCCTGACTCAGGGATTGAACTTGAGTTGCCTGCATTAGCAGACGGATCCTTTACCACTGAGCCCCAAGGGAAGCTCCAGGCCTAAGCTTTCCAGTCCCACAGAAAGGAAGACCAGCGCGACACTGGCTCCACCTGCCAGCCACACAGGAGACGGCATGTAGGAAACACCCAGGAGGCAAAAGGGGAAGGCTTCCAAAGCTGCTTCTCTCCCGCCCACCCCTCTGCACCTCACCCCTGCTGGGGGAGCGGAGCAGGTTGAGTCTGAGGGGCCCCCCTGTAGGGCTCTGCTGCTCCTCCTACAGCGCTGAGCTCACAGGCTCCTCTCCAGGAGACACAGCCTCCCAGGTTCTGACTCACCTCGCCCACTGCGTTCACCACTGGCAGATGTCGCAGGCCCATCGTCCTGAACAGGTTGAACACTTGGGAGACGTGGGTGTTGGGTGAAACAGTGAAGGGTGCGGGGTTCATATATGGGGTGACGTCCTACAGAGGAGAGAACACGGTGACCCGCGGCCAGTCCTGCCCGCCCAGGATGTGACGGTGGCTGCACAGAGGAGGAGCGGGCCATGCAGGATGGGCTCTCAGCCTCCTCACCCAGCCCCAGCTCCAGGGAAGCCCTGCTCACCACAATCATGCGCGGGTTCAGCAGGGTCAGGTCCAGGTCATGGATGTCAGGGTACCTCGGGTAATCCTCGGCCATCTCAGCGTAGGAGAGGCGTGGCTGGTTGGCGCTCTGCAATCCCAACCCAGACACTGTCATTGCACCGGATGTGGTCACTGGCGGGGCCATGTTTAGGGGACCCTCCCTCAATGTCTGAGAGCTGGGCAGGCAGCACAGGGCCAGGACAGGTGCTCTGGATTGAGACCTCCTGCTCCAAAGCCATTTCTCGGCCAATTCCCTAGCTGTGTCCCCTGAGCTGGTCTCCTAACCTCTCTGAATGTCCCTTTCATCTGGAGAACAGATGTGAGCTATTCTAGAGTTTCAATGAGAAAAGTGCTAATAGTAGCTGCAGCTGGGGTGACTTAGGTCTCCTAAAAGATCTGTCTGCATTCTAATGCCTAGAACCTGTGAATGTGGCCTTCTTGGAAACAAGGCCTTTGCGGATGTAGTCAAGGTAAGATAAGGTCACATGGAGGAGGGTGGACCCCAAACCCAGGGATTGATGTCCTACTAAAAGAGGAGAGAACACAGACAGAGGGCCAGATGATAAGGAGGCAGACACGAGTGATGTGCCTCCAGCCAGGGCAGGCCGAGGGCACCCACCACAAATGAAGGCGGCAAGAATCCTCTCCTGGAGCCTTCAGAGGAAGCACAGCCTGGCTGACTGGGCATTCTGTCCCAGAGCCTTGAAAACTGAGCAAGGATACACTGCTGTTGTTGGAAGCGTCTGAAGCAGGTTGAGTCTGAGGGATTTTGCCCAGTTTGTGGCGACTGGAAATGGCAGCCCCAGGAAAGTCAGCCCAGAAAAGTCACAAGGGAACTTTGCCACTATTCCTGCATCCTGAGTTTCCTGGATTGTCCCTCAGCTCTCAAGGCCACTGACCGTCAGAGGGCACCGGGGCCACCACCATCAGCTCTCAGGCCCGTCACTACTCCTCCCCTTCGCTCCCCTCGGCCCACAGTCTTTGCTGTCCACTGTTGACCCCCAAGGCTTCCCCAGGCCAGCACTGGTGGTTTCTGTCGGCAGGCAAGGCCCTGTGTAGTCTGGCCTGCTTCATTCCTCCAACTCTCGTCCTTTGGGCCATTCCAGTGGAGTTGGGCCTCCCATAGGCCATATCCCCAAGCCCGAGCCACTCCACCTATGGCCCTTCCTGTCCTGCCCACGTGAGCTGCTCTTCTGCGGGCTAGTCAGACCACGGGTGACCTCAGGCTGGCTGCCCATGGGCAAGACCCAGAGGAAAATCAGTTTGGGAACTAGGTCTCTGGGTGAGTTTTTCAGTCTTCTTTTTTCAGGCTCCATCTGAAGGGGGTGAAGTGTGTCGCAGGTCACTATACGGACCACTCTGAACACGCAAAAATCAAAGAGAAAAAAAGACTACCGAGGAATGAATGAGAACAAAGGTATTTCTTTGGATATCACATGTAACAAAGTGCATATATGGCAGAAATTAAAGTGTAGAGATTATATTAAAAGCCTCTGGCCAGAAGGACACTTAGCAACAGGTGAAGAGACTAAGGGGCGAGGCCCTGGAGGGACTCTGATCCCTGCTCAGCGTCAGGGCAGTGGGAGTTGCACACACTGCTCGACAGCAGGTGTGGGGACTGTGTTCCGAGTGCCCTTGTGCTTTCCAGAGGCCGGTGTGGACAAGAAAGCAGACTCACCGACTGGCTTTCAGAGTAACAGACTCCTCGGACGAGCAGGGTGACGAGCTGCGAGCGCAGGATCAGGCCGTGGAAGGTCAGCGGCCGGAAGCGTTCCTCCATGGTCCAGTCTTCGCTCGGGGACTGGTCAGGGTATAGGTTGGGGTAGGGGGTGTATCTGTTATACAAAAACCAGACGCTGCCTAGGACACCCTCAGCAGGACCGTGTCCCGTCCATGGCCCCGAGCTCCACCCGCACTCCCAAGGATGGCCCTGGGCGAGGGGCCCCCTCACCTCCGCTCCAGCATCTGCTGCAGGAGGTCCTCCTTCTCGCCCGGCTCCTCGGAGGTCACGTGCTCGTCGCACATGTTGCGCAGCTCACTGGATGGGTAGGACTTCATGGACTGGCTTCGCCGGCGCTGCTCACCGGCACGGGTGAGGATGCTGGACTTCTGAGGATGGGAAGGGGCAGTGATGACAGATAACTGCTCAAGGGCAGGCCAGTGTCCACCCAGGGGAGGAGGTGAGTAACCCTGAGGGTCAAAAGGCACAGGCCCACGCCAGAATGGCAAGAAACCTGCATGGCAGCTCAGACTCAAGGAGCCTCTCGGAGCCCAAGGTTCCTGCTGGCCCCACGCCTCGACTCCTCTGATGTGGGGACAGCAAGGCAATGCTCCCACGTTGTATCTCTGCAGGCCCGTCAACTGATGTGCCCCCAGCCTCCAAAGCTAAGGGTGGGCACACGGCCCAAGTGAGGCAGCTGGACTCTCCTTTGATGCCGATGTCTCCTGGTACCCACAAAGGAGCCGCCAGCCACCTACTCACCCAGGGTACACTGGGTGCTCCTCAGCTTCCCTGTCCGTCCTGCAGCTTCCTAGGGACATCTTTCTTCCTTAAGTAGGTCAGAGTCCACTGATGGCTATTCAGAACCCTCTCTGGGACAATCTGCACTGAACGCTAACCACTGTTGATTAAAACCGGGCTTCCCTGGTGGCTCGGACAGTAAAGAATCTGCCTGCAGTGCGGCAGAGCCGGGTTCGATCCCTCTGTCAGGAAGATCCCCTGGAGAAGGGAATGGCTACCTACTCCAGCATTCTTGCCTGGAAAATCCCATGAACTTAGGACCCTGGTGGGCTGATTAAAACCACCACTTATCCGCGTGCTTGCTGGAGTGAGAATGAACACACCTCCTGATGGCCTAACGAAGTCCTTACTCACTGTCCAATCCTTATTCACTGCCACGCACAATGACAAGGATGCTGACTTTCACAAGAGCCAACCAGGGCCAGCCTGACTACAGGGTGCGACAAGCATGGGGTCAGTGTGAGCGTCAGGGAACCACTTTTCCATGGTCCACCCCTCCTCCGGGGTCACTTTCTTTACCTTGAACTTGATGTTGTTACTGATGAGCTGGTTGCCCTTCATGAACTCCCTCTCATTGCCCCGGTTCTCCGTGACCACCGGGAAGGCGTGGTGGACGGTGGTGCGGAGGATGCTGACCAGGGACTGGATGCGGGTGTGCGGGTAGACGTAGGTCAGGTTGGGCTCCATGATGTCACTGGCTCGCAGTCTGGGGGAGGGAGGGAAGTGCTCCAGCCTCACGACGGAGCCCGTGGCACCGGGAGCAGCCGTGACATGGCCGTGCCTCCTCTGCGTACTGCCTGGACCACCAGGGTCCCTCTTCTGAACCACCTCCAGCCAATCCTTGAACACACGTGTTCCTTGGTACTCCTAGCCCCTTCTTATGCGCTGTATGCTATATGATGCTTCATATGCCTGGAATATGCTCTTCCCTGCCTTGTCAGCTGAGTGGGCCAACACCCTCATCTCAAGACGAACGCCCCCTCCCCATGAACCCCACCCGCTTGCCCAGGTTTCAGCCATCCCTCCTCGGCACCCCACGGCGCACTGAACTGCTAACGACACGGGAATTAAAATGAAAGTCTTTGGGTGTCCCTTTAGACCAGGGATGGCAACTCTCACCCACAGGTCCAATCTGGCTGCACTTGCTCATTTACATGTTGTCCACGGGTGCTTCTGCACTAAAGTGGTAGAGCTGGACAGTTGTGATAGAGACCGCATGGCCTGAGATGTTGGAAATATTGACTGGCTGGTCCTTTCTGGAAGTTGGCTGACTCCTACGGGACAGACTTTAAGCACCTCACGTGATTCCAGACATGAGAGGCCTGATGGATAAGCTGGTATTTATGCCCAGAGGAGTCACCGCTGATAGACAACTCTTCCCTGGGCACACATGAGGCAGCTTGCTCTCACTCACAAGGATCGGACGCTTAAACATTCAATCATAACACTTCCTGTTTCACTAGAATGCCATAGCAGCCGAAAAGTCCATGAAGTGGCCCTGCCCGCCCCAGCCTCCAGCCCATGGGGCCACTCCACTCTCCTGAAAACACTTGGGGACAGACGTGCTTGCTACTGTTACTTACCTTCTTCCAACCCAAGAATCTGTACTACCACCCCCTAATACAAAAGTTCCTGGGCCCTAGACTTCATAAATTCTGGAACTAGACACAAAGAAATCCTGGCCTTACTTGTCCATTTCCACCTCTGTCTCCCATTCTAGCAACGGCACGCCTCGCAGGCCCACGTGGATGTCATAAATGCCTTTATTGAAAAAGTCCCCTGTCCATTTGGCCACCTGAAATACAAAGGAAAGGCTTGAAAACAGGCTGCTGTGGGGGGAACTGGGCCCTGAATCTGAACGAGGCCTAGAAGCGGCATGCTCACCATCAGGGTGATCATAATGGGAAGGCCGTAAGTGATCTCGTTGGTAGACTCAATCAGGATGACCGTGAGACTGATGGTCATGCGGACAACCCCACCCAAGAAAGCCGCAGCACCAATCAGGGCAAAGGTCCCAGAGTAGATATGGCCCAATCCAATGTAGCTGGTGAAGAAAGAGACCAAGAACATGGCTCAGAATCATAACAGTGTGTGGCGGGGTGACGGTAGTTTAGTTGCTAAGACGTGTCAGACTATTGCGATCCTACAGACTATAGCCCGCGAGGCGTCCCTGTCCATGGGATCTCCCAGGCGAGAATACTGGAGTGGGTTGCCATTTCCTTCTCCAGGGGCTCTTCCCAACCCAGGGATCAAACCTAGGTCTCCTGCATTGCAGGTGGATTCTTTACTGCTGAGCCTCCAGGGAAGCCTGTTGGGTTGGGTGGGAAGCTACGATTCCCACACATGTGATTATATGCAAACACACACACATGCACGCACAGAGTACCTTTTGAGGACATTGGCAACTAAACGTCCAAAAGCAGCTCCACACAGCAGAGAAGGCACAAAAAGGCCACTCGGAACAGAGATGCCGTAAGTCCAACATGCAAGTGAGAAATAGAGGATGAAGAACAAGGCCAAAGTGACAGGGCTAAACGTACCTGTGAAGCAAGAGCAGACTGACCTGAGTCCCACTGAGATGCTTACCAAGGCCTCCCAGACTACCCGGCTCCCACCAGGTCCTACTGCTTCCTGTTCGGTTCACCTCCAGTGCTGCAGGCAGAAACCCTATCTTTGTCTGGAGTGATGTCACCAATGAAAAGCCCCATTCTTGATCAAAATTAGGGATAAGCCCAGCTGTGTCTGAGGGTAAACAGAAGGGGCAGGTGAACAATCATTTGTTCCTGCCCCAAAGCCCAGCCCCTGAGACTCACTATCCTGGTGGAAAAGCTGAAGGATGGCAGACTCCTGGGAATTGAAGAAGAGGGTGGCCATGTCATTGTAGGTCTCGTTGGGACAAAAAAAGGTCTTGATACTTGAATTCACATTTTCTGATGTGACCTGAGAAGCAAGAATCAAAAAGTCAAACACAGGTCCCTGGCCAGGGCACTTGATATTTCAAGTGGGACGTCTCCAGCAAGGCTGCAGCAAACCTGGCATGCAAGCTTTACTCATAATAAAACAGGTAGCAAAAAAAAAAAAAAAAAAAAAAAAAAAAACAGGTAGCAAAAATAGATTGAGATCCAAGAGCAGCCAACTGTGATACTGTATTCCTCACATTTTGAGCAAGAATCAGGATGAGGACCCTTATTCATGCACATATGCAACAAAATATAACTACACTCATGATTCACTGTGGGTCTGGCTCAGTGCTACTTCTGTCAGGGGCACTGGGGGAAGTCTGGCCCCTGGGGCCCACGGACCATGGAGGACGAGGTAGAGGCCTGACAAGAGGCCCAGAGTGGCCAGTTGTCTGTAGAGGAGAGTCCAGGGCACTGCCTGACCTAAGACCATCTTTGTTCCAAGTGGAAAAAGCCTCTGCCCTGAGTTTGCTGCAGAAGAAACCTGTGAATATGAGGCCTAATGCAGACACCTTGCTCCTGGTTGCCCATCCCTCACCTGCCTGAACAAAACCCAAATTGGGAAAAGACGGGATTTCTTCACATCCCAGCCCTCTAACCCCCTTCATCATCTTGTGTGAGCAGATGAGAGCCTGGCACTGCTATCTCATCAGAGAGGTGTTTGTTTTCTGGTTGCTGGTGTTCAGTAGCACAGAGGGTGAACCTCGTACCTGTCCCTGGGCAAACAGCTAATGGGTGTTACTGCAAAGCTAACTGAGGAGATGGATTGTTCCTGGATTCCATTCCATCAGTGACACTGTAAAGATGCCCTTACGTGGACACTGTAATGATAGCAGGCCATGGGTTAGTACAAACCTACGAGGTGGGCCTGGCTGGGCAACATAGCCAGATGAAGGCTGCTGCAAGAAACAGGGGAGCGCCCCCATGGGCAGAACCTGGCAGGGAGGAGCGGGCAACCGGGATGTGTGTGCACAGCTGTTGAGGGTGGACAAGCTGAGGAAACAGTTGAATAATCAACAATGCAATGTTTCTCCAACTTAGGTCTGGAGGAACCCAGTACTGAAGGCGCTCTGGAAAGAAACCTGTGGTCAGGTGAATAGAGGAGCATCACTGCACTTGCTGGAAATCAGCATATCTGCAACGAGCAGGGAACAGGCTCCATGATCAGACAGACCTGACTTGCACCCTGTTACCCTCTTGTGACCTCGGGAAAGGTACTCCATTTTGTGAAGCTTCCGTTTCCTCATCTGTAACATGGGAATAACACCTATCTCAGGCTATCTATTACTAGCTGAATAGTCTTGGGTAAGACCTCAGTTTTCTCATCTGTCAATGGGGACAAGACTAGCCAGAGTGGCCGTGGTAAAAACTAAGTGAGGTCACGTATACACAGTGTTTAGTGGAACACCTGGCACACAAAAAACACGCCGAACATTCCTAACATTAGAGCTTTAAAGGCCCTGAGAAGGCCTGTGTTCAAGAAACCTACTTAGCCCTGGTTATCTCATCTGACCATAGAGTCTGTTTCCGTTTGTTTGCTCTTGAATCATGTGTATAAATGCTCCTTCGAACACACTTTGGAAAGTACTGGCCTGGTAAGGAGGTGGCCTTGGGGAATAACCAGTAACAGGGATCAACAGATTTTTCCTGTGAAGAGCCAGAGAGTAAATATTTTAGGCTTTGCAAGCCACATACAGTCTCTAGTGCAAGTTCTTCTGGCTTTCTTTTCCCAACTCTTAGAACTGTAAAATCACTTTTAGCTCGGGGGCTACACAATAACAAGCGGTTGCCAGGGGCTAGATGTGGTCCATGGACGACAATTTGCTGACCTCTGATTGAGTATGTTGTAGCCATTTAGTGTTCCTGGGGACACTGAAGATGCAGCCATTCAAGACAAAAGCCAAAAGGGGCTCGGATGGACTCAAGTAGCTCCCCAGGGGCCATTAAGATATGTACTGAGAGAACCTTCAGCCTCCACCCTAGGGTCCACTCTCAGACCCAACATACACTGTAAGCTAAGTTCCAATGCCTGCCTCACTCACCCTGCTCTTCTGGGGGAAAGCTTGTAGAAAATATCACTCACTCCTAAGAAAGGAAAGAGAAAAATGCAAAGAGGAAGTGTGCCAAGAAATGACCTAAACTCATTCAAACTGGAAGATGCACGAAGAGCCAGGACCACTGTGCACCCTGAGGGAGGTGTTCCTTTCTCCTTTCTTAAGTGTGCCTCTCCCACCCCGAGGGGCGGGCTGTCGGGCACCTTCCAGGGGTGGGGATTAGAAGAGGGAACTGAGGCTCAGAGGAGAAGCCGTCAGTGTCCTTAGCATCTGTTTCTGATCAGTCTTGTTCAAGAGTGGGGGTTGGGGGATAGAGAGGAGCCCTCTCTATGATGACTAGGACTGTTGACAAAAGTGAAAAAGAGCCAGTTTGGTGAACATCCTCTCTTAGGTAAAATGACAGCTACAAACTCCATCCCCACCCCCATCCCCCACCCGGCAATCTGACTCAGGTGTGGAACAGTAAACCAACACATCTACTGGCTCTAAACAGGCACGTCATACATTCTTTGTGGACGCAGGACAAGGGCAGCAGGTGCAGAGGGGTTACCTGGAGTGGGATGGAGTCATTCCCAACTTGAGCCGCAGAAGTCACCTGGCGGCATTCTCCTAACACCATGGAGGCCACAAATACCACCATGGTGGTCACCAGGGACACCAAGAGGCTCTCCAAGACTCTAGGAGGCAAAACACGGCTGTTAGCATGGATAAAAAGCTACCTGGTCTTGGGAACTTGAAATTGCCTACCCCAGCCCTCCCTGCCCCCAGAGCACGCACAGCTGACCCTGGGCAGTCAGCACATGTGCAGAATGTATCAGCGGCTTGCTGTGTTCCAGCAATCTCTATGTACAAATCTGTACAGGTGGCTAGTGGCGAGGCTGCTGCGGCCACATCATCTCTCTCTGAGAAATGAAAGGCCTCCCACTTTAAGTCCCAGGGTGAGAGTCTCATGACAGCGTGCCCCCCGACGGGGCCAATACTGACTCTGCCATGTGTCCCTGTGGCCAAGTCCAGAGAGGCCAGGAGCCAGAGTGGCTCTGATATAAGTTAAGCTCAGCCACAGTCTCTTGGTCTATCTGATAAACACATTTATGTTCTCAGTCTTAGACGTGACCTGGAAGCTGGCGTGGGAAGTGGGGTCTATTCCTCAGGAGAGATGGCCCGGTCCACACGGGGCCAGGGAGCCACAGCAGGCGGGAGAGGCAACTGCGAGGGTACCTGACGAGCTTAGGTTTCGGGTGCACGTTTCGCATACGGTACTTTGCAAGCCTCTTGTTCAGACAGTTGAACGTGGCTCCTAGGAGGCCCCCAATGACCCCCATCGCGATGAAGAAACCCAAGTCCATAGCTGTCCAGAGATGACATTTTTTATCAGAGTCAGAGCACTGAGACAAAGGGCAGGGGAGGGAGAGAGAAAAACCAGAGTGCCCATGAGAACAGGAAGGGGCAGGAGTGGAGAAGACAGAGACGAGAGCCAAAGCGGTGCTGGAATCCTGCCCACACTGAGCACATGCATGCAGAGGACTATGGGGCCCAGGCGCACCTACCTCTCTGCCAGCTTCTCTCTGATACTTTACTTAACAGCAATTGTCAAGGGTCAAGAAAAATTTTGAGGGCAAGGACAAAACATACCTTAAACTCGCCGAAGTTCAGCAGCCCAGGGAGCTGGAAGGAACCCCAACTTCCAAACTGAATTCCAGAACGAAAGAAGTTGAGGGTGAAGGTGGCAGACATGGAGCAGAAGAGCTGGGAAACAGGCGACAAAAACAAAAACAGCTGATAGCTGCAAGTCCTACTTCCTCCCGGACGCGTCCCTGCAAACCTACTGCTCCACACAGAGACCTCCAAGCCCAGGTCTGGACATGGGGCTCTGGTGACCACGGCCGTAAGTTCACCTCAATTGTGAAAAGCTGGAAATTGGGCTATTAAGAGTTTCCATTCAGCCTTTTGTGGACTATTTATTTAAGGTCTATGGTGCACCAGATCCTATGCTAAAAGAGGAACAGTAAACACCAGAGGAAGAATGCGCTCCCCAAGCGAGCAGACGGGAGCTCAGTCAGGACCACAGCTGGTCTCACCTTTCCAGTCACATAGTTCGTCATGAGAGGGTAACGTCTCACTGGGGACGAAAAGGATGTTAATATGGGAAGTAGAGAACAGTCCACGGGAGTTAATATGGGAAGTAGAGAACAGTCATAGGAGGATACAGGCAAAGGAAGTCAGTTCTCCTGGCCTCATCAAAACTACAGGTTAACCTGAAACTATCCATTAAATCGAGCCTTTTACCACTGTGATACGTCCCTTATTCACTTTGGTAACTCCCCTTGTCTCAAAGTCTCCTTTAACACTAATAAACTTTTTGTTGTTGAGTCACTCAGTTGTGTGACTCTTCTGTGACCCCATTGGCTACAGCCCATCAGGCTCCCTGTCTATGGGATTTCCCAGGCAAGAATACTGGAGTGGGTTGCCATTTCTTTCTCCAGCGGGTCTTCCCGACCCAGGGATTGAATCCAAGTCTCCTGCACTGGCAGGTGGATTCCTGGAACCACCTACAGCAGCCTTATTTTGGTTAGCGCAGACATGGTATACCTTTTCTGTTCCTTTTATTTTCAGACATTTATGACTGTACATAAAGTATGTCTGTGGTAAACAGCTAAAGAGGAGAAAAAATACTACTGGTAAACGTATCGAGTAAGAGTTGTCCAGATGAAACCTGGGGTGGGGGTGGGTGGCTAAGCTCGGGGAAGGTCCTCCTTACCACTCTCCATGTGAGCCCTTGGTTCCAGAAGGACGAACCCTCCTCCAGACTGAACAGGGTACCCCCAATGGGGGCCCCAAAAGCCGCAGCAACTCCGGCGGCTGCCCCTGCTGATACAAAGTCCCGCTTGTCTCTGAGGGGTGGAGAGAGAGATGGTTTATCTGTGAAACAGTCCTCAGTCTGCCAACGGCCATTTTCTCACTTCCTATGCACCAACATTCTATTATCTCGAGACCCAAGAACAGTCAGGGCTCACAAAGGGCTTCGGTTTCTGCCGAAGCGACTCAGCAGTGAACACAGTTCACTAACCAGCCAGATGCTCTCCCCCATTGGAACTCCGCTAGGCGGGGGCTCCCTGACATTAGTCAACTCCAAGCATGAACTCTCTCAGAAGGCAGGTCGAAGATTTCCGGTGTCACCACTGAGCCACCAGCTCCTTAGATCTTCCTTCCAGAAAGCCCAATACCAGAGAAAATGGCCAAGTGTGGCTGCATGCAGAAGGAGAGGTGACAGTGCCTGGCAGGAAGGTGAGAAGGTGGACCCCAACCCGGGTGTGGGCCCCTGACTGCAAGGGCCTTGCCAGGCGTGCAGGTCAGTAACACCTGCAAATCACACAGGGTGCAGAGACCTTCCAAGCCTAAAGCGGCGAACCAAGTAAATAAACTCCGTTCTTGATAATATGCCAATGGACTTTCTCGGTTGTATTTTTGATCTTGGACCATGTTCTTTGTTGCAGGAGATGCTTCTAGGCCCTGGGTTATGGCAAAACAGAAGCTGTGATGCCTGCTTGCCCATTGTGCTCCTAATTTTCAGAAAAATAATCCAAAGCCCACCTCCTTCCTGATGGTCAGGTTCTGCATGCAGCCCACCCAAGCTGGGGAGACTATGAGCCCGGTTAGAGCAAGTACAGGGTCTCAGTGGCAATAAATGAACAGCTTGCTTTTTTAAAAAAAACAAAAACACCCCAATTTCTAACCTCTCCATACCTGTCACTTCGAAAATAGGGGAAGTTAAACTGGATCTTTCGTAAGGAGATGCTCTGAAACTAGAACAGGAGAAAACAGAGTCAGAGAGCGGCCCGAGGCTGCAGGAAGCCACAGCACTGGGAGTCCCTGCACCCTGACCGCTCCTGGGCAGGAGCCGCAAGGAGGAGAGTCCAGGACAGCAGCTGCTAAAAGAGGTGACTTTGGGGAGGAACTTCTTTCCTGCCTCCAGAGTCCTAGGCTCTTCAGAAACTGCATTATGTACAGTCAGCAAGTCTGAAAGGAAAAGGGGAAACAGCTGGGCGAAGGGTGGAGAGGAACTGAAGGCTGCTACAGAAGGCAACGTGAGTTCTGCTCCGGGCGGTCACCAGGGAAGGGCCAAGTGACTGCCTGACAAATCCTCAGACTACCGCCCCGTCCTGGCCTGGCCTCCTTCTACCCGTCAGCTTACTACCGAGAGGCCGGTGCATGGAGATGAGATGAGATGAGGCAGTAACAAGGGAGATCAAAAGATGGGCTCTGGATGACAGGGACTTCTCTCTTCCTCCTGGACGACACGACCATAGCAACTCCCTCCCCTTAGAATGGGAGACATAAACTGTCTACAGATGACAGTTCACAAGGAACTGAGACCTTTCTCTGTGGACCAGCCTGTGAGAAGGGGAGTCTGGGAGCCCTGAGTGAGCCCCTTGGCCTCCCTGAGCCTCAGCTCCTCATCTAGGAATGATGATGATGAGGACGACTAAACCCGAGGGGGCTTTTTTCTGGTTGGGCCACATGGCTTGTGGGATCTTAGTTCCCTGACCGGGGATGGAACCCGGTCCTGTGGCAGTGGAAGCTCAGAGTCCTAACCACTGGACTCACCAGTGAAGTCCCTGAAGTGGCTTTAAAGACAGGAGTTGGGACAGGACAGTCTGGCCCAGATGGCACCTGATGAACAGCAGCTGTTATTCCCTTGCTGCATCCAACGGTATCAGCATTGGCCTGTGCCTGAAACCATCACAGCCAAGGCTTCCAGCCTCTCTTGGGACGCTCCGCAGGCCACCCTGTGTGCAGACCCTTGGCAAGGCTGTGGGAGCACTGGGCGACTTTCGTTTGAACTTTCTCTCTGTCCCACTTCTGCTCTCAGGACCCCACAGGGCCCCAATACAACCTCCAGGTACCAGCTACCTGCTCTCCTGGGAGATAGACCTCATAGTTTCATCAACCCAAACTGATAATAGATTCCAAGGCCACATTAGGGTGTTCTTGATGGATTTTTTTGGAATTTTAACCATGGACACGCCCCTGCCCAGGAGGCCCACTCTGAAGGCCAATCCGCCCCCCACAGCCCATCAACCCTTACCTGTGGGAGGCCAGCCCCCACCACTGCTCCACTGTGGATCATGGGGCCTTCTTTCCCCACAAAGAGCCCTAGGAACAGGTGGAAAAAGGCGAGACAATCTATCAGCACAGAACAATCTTTGTTATACAGACCTTTCTCTTGACAACCACAAAACAGAGATGATCACATGACTTGCTAACAGTAAGAGTGAATCAAATCCCTATCAAATAAGAGAAAGTAACCTTGAAATTCTAAATTGGGGGTCAGCAAATCGTAGCCTGTGGGCCAAGACAGGCTTGCTGCTTATTTTTATACAGCCCAAGAGCTCACAATGGTTTTTTACATTCTCGAATGGATACATTTTAAGTGGTTATGTAAGTTTAAGCACCTACATAATAGCTCCTTTTTACCACTTGGCCCACAAAGCCTAAAATATTTACCATCTGGCACAAAAGTCTTGCTGACTTTGCTAAAAGCCAACTTCACAAACCAACTAGACAGTTGCTCTACTTTGAAATTCAATGGTGTGCTGGTCAGACAGCTCTGAGTGGTAACTTATTAACAGCGTTTACATTTAAAAACTAACTCATCAACAAAAAGTGCAGAGATCTGTTTGAGGGCAGAACCTTCAAGGCCATATTTGCTTAATGTACACCCATAATGATTCTTGTCACCTTCACCCCTGGAAGGCTTCAAGGATAAAGGTCAGGAAGACCCTTTTGTGACTTCCCTGGTGGTCCAGTGGCTAAGACTCCAAGGTCCCAACACAGGGGGCCTGGGCTTGATCCCTGGTCAAGGAAGTAGATCCCACATGCTACAACTAAAAAGACCCTGTGTGCTGCAAATAAGAGGGCTTCTGAGGTGGTGTAGTAAAGAAATGGAGCCTGCTAACACAGGAAATGTAGGAGATGTGGGTTTTATCCCTGGGTTGGAAAGATCCCTTGGAAGAGGAAATGGCAACCCACTCCAATATCCCTGCATGGAGAATCCCAGGGACAGAGGAGCCTGGCAGGCTACAGTCCACGGGGTCACAAAGAGTTGGACACGACTGAGGACACTCACACACCACAAATAAGACCTGACATAGCCAAATAAAGAAATACTTTTAAAAAAGAAAAAAAGGAGGTAAAAAAGACCCTCCTTACCTCCAGCCACACTGAACAGCACTCCAAAGACTTTGCAGAGCAGGGTCCGGAGACGCACGATTCCAGGCACTTTCACGCCATTCAGATAGCATTTGATCTCGGGGATCCCAGAACCAGCTGCCACTGGCTGAGGGGGAAGAGCAGGCACACTCAGAAACTCAGAACCCACTGGGCTCACCCTGGACAGCACTGCACTCAGTAGGCCTGATGCATTTCTGACAAGTGCCTGGTGATTTAACATCTCCTGCGAGGGGAGGCTTTTCAACAATCAATGCCGCCCTTCATTTCCAGAGATTCACACCTCATTTGTCTAAGCTGGGTATTGGTCACTTTTAAAGTTCTTAAGGTTTAAAGCATTTGTTATTCTAAGGTGTTTTTACAGTTCCCCAGGTGTTTCTTCTAATGTGCTGCCAAGGTTGAGAAGCAACCTCCTAGTCTAGATTGTTCCCCTTTAATCTCCCCAGAGGCTGAAACCACTTTCAGAAAACCTCTCTAAGTGAAAGAGAGATCACTTTTTCTACAGGAATCTATACTCTTAAGACTAAATCAGTGTCTTGACATTTCAGAAATGGAGATGGAGAAAAATGGAGTCCCCAACAACCTTGTGAGCAAGAAGGCAAGACCCCCACTGCTTCACACCCATCACACCTCACCTCAATTAGGACAAGAAGGCTTGCAAAGAAGACAAAGGTCAAGTTGAAACCCAAGAGCTCCAGGAGGGACAGCGCGAGACAGCCTTTCTGGCTGCACTCTTCCACCGCTGCACACATGGGGTTAAGAAAAACGAGCCTGCCGGCTGGAGTGATCCTGCCACCACTATATGAAGCAGTTTCTCTTCCTCTGAAGCATGGGGGTTGCTTACTGCACATTTTCCTGTTTTCCGCATATAAACTTCACAAAAACACAACTGTCTGAGATGTCTTCTACATTGGTGTTTTCAGTCATTAAATCATGTCCGACTCTTTCGCGACCCCATGGATGGTAGCCTGTTGGGCTCCTCTGTCCATGGGATTTCCCAGGCAAGAATACTGGAGTGGGTCGCCATTTCCTTCTCCAGGGGATGTTCTTGACCAGAGATAGAAACTGCGACTCCTGCATGGGCAGGCATTAGGCCACCAGGGAAGCCTTTGTCTCCTACACTAGGAACCATTTTAAAATCATGAAATACTTCAAACATTACAAGATGTACAAACATCTGTACCCTCAGAGACCTTAACAAATCTCAGCATTAAGCCACATCTGCTCCAGGTGCTTCTTGAAAATTAAAACACTAGATACCGTTCAAAACAACAAAACCCCTTGTGTTTCCCTCCCTCTCTCCTGGAAGAACCCCTTAACCTGAACCCGTGCACATCCTCCCCAGAACATGTCCATTTGCATCCACACTGTTGTGAGTGTTTCTGAAATTAAAACAGGGGCATTGTGCTTGATGCACCTTCTACCCTTGCCTTCTCTCCCTCAACACTTTTTGAGAATTAGCCATGTTGATCTGAAAGCTCTGGTTCATTTAACTTCTGTGAGAAATTACACCATCCAAATTACAACTGTCCCACTCTCCCATTTGGTGTGATATCAGAGTTTTGCAATCACATCTCTGAGCATGTCCGAGGGCCACACCTGGAACACAAACACAGGAGTCAGCGAAGCACACCTTCCTGTGTACTTAATTTTCACTTCCCTGCTGGTGGTGAGGTAAGAGCTTTTCCACAGGTAATTTTCCTCTTCTGAGAACTGTCTGCTCACATCCTTTGCATTGTTTTTCTACTGAGCTGTTTCGGCTTTTTTCTTACTGAGTTGCAGCTCTCCCTCTATTATGGATACTAATTATTTGTCTCTTAAATGCACAGGGAGTAACTTCTCCTAAGCTGTAAACCTGTTTTTCAATTTGTTTATGGGGTTTTATTGTCTGAGTCTTTTTTTTTTTTTTTTTGGTGTGTGTTTACTTTGATGTCATCAAGTTTATTGATCTTCATGCCTTCTGGAGTTCTTAGAAATTACTCCCTGGTCTTGACGTTACACAGTCTCTTCAAGTTTTGTTTTGCCTATTTACATCTTTAATCCATCTGGAATTAATATATAGTACAAAGTAAGAATCTAATTTTGTATTTTTCCAGATAGGTAGCCAATCTCCCAGCATCTTTTATTAACAAACCCATCCTTTCTCACTGATTTATAGTATTAACTCTGTCACTCTCTGAATTGCTGTATGTGTATGGGCCAGTTTCTGCTTCTCTATTACTTTCCACTGGTCTAATTGGGTGTTCTTGTACCAATATGACAGTGGGTTAATCACTATATCTTAAATTATGTAAGTCTTGACATCTAGGGTGGCCAGTCCCATCCACTGTTCAAAGCTGTCTCAGATACTTTGGGCTCTTTATGATTCCACACAAATTTAGGAAGATAATTTTCAAGTTCCATGAACAATTCTAGTGGAACTTTCCTTGGAACCACAATCAGTTCACAGACTGATGAGAAAAAAAGAGGCATCTGGGCTTCGTGTCTTATTACCATGACTATGAACATCTTTCTATTCAACTCTTCTTCTGTGTCCTTTGATAATGAAAAACTTTAAACCCAAGTGGCCAAAAAGTAGCTCTTCAAAGATCACGTCTGTAAACTCATTTCTATATGGGAAAGCAGGGTGAGCAACCACAGATGTTGGGGAACACTGTGACCCCTGTAAAGGATACACGCCTGCACCACTCCGAACTTGAGCTGCGTGAAGAGTCGAGCAAAGAAGTCCACGAAGAGACCCACCTGGGAGGAGCACAGGGCTGTCACCTGGGTCTCCACAGTCACAGGCACCCCCCTGGAAACACAGCCCCCACCCCCACTGCTGGTTCTTATTGGTCACGCGCACCCATGCTACCGACAGGCCATGTGTGAACAGGCCTTTCCTTAGTCAGGGAGTGCCCCACCTGTCTGGTCCCATGGCCCTTCTGAGGACAAAAGAAGGGGTGTAGCTAAGTTGTCAGAAGGAGAGTTACAACACAGAGGAGTAAGAATAAAAAAAGAACCTGAGACCAAGGAAGACTGCCAGTGCTTAGAGAGAAACAGTACAGAGGCATGTGAGGGCCTGCTCTGCTCTTCCCAAAGGCAGGGTCAAAAGGAGAAACCCAAATGCATTTTCAGTGATCCTTAGCTGGGTAAGTGTAGAAAGGCTTAGGGTACCAGGATATCACTTTGAAAGCCAGTACCCACTCAGGAGTAGTACACGGCTCTGGCACGTCTGTTATTGTTCATTTGCTAAGTTATGTCCCAGTCTTTGCAACCATCTTGACTGCAGCACACCAGGCTCCTGTCCTCCACTATCTCTCAGAGTTTGCTCAAGTTCTTGTCCACTGATGATGCCATCCAACCACCTCATCCTCTGTCACTCCCTTCTCTTTCTGCCCTCAATCTTTCCCAGCATCAGGATTTTTTCCAATGAGTTGGCTCTTTGCATCAGGTGGCCAAAGTATATTCAAGACTGATTTCCTTTAGGATTGACTTGTTTGATCTCCTTGAATCTCCACAATTCAAAAGGATCGATTTTTTGGCACTCTGTTATTACCATTTAATAAATTATGACTTCGATTTATAATCACTGAATAGCCAATGGTTAGCCTGGTGAATAAGACAAAACCACTCCTGTTCCACTAGTTCACTCTCTGAAGTGCATACTCAGGACTTAACAGAGAACTGGGAAGACTTCTGACCATGTGAATTTAGGATCAAAGGCTTTGTGCCTTTAACTCTGGTCTTCCCACAAACCAGTGCCCAGGGGGCTTTTAAATATTGAAACATTGAACTGCACAGATCAAAGGAGAAGACAGCCAGTAGCAAGAGGAGATGGTTGCTACATTATTAAGGCAGGTCTGCTTTCGGAGAACAGGAGGGTGTTCTGTAGAGTTGCTAAAGTTTGACATAACAGTAGCAGAGAGACTAACACCTATATTGCTAGTAACTATGTATATTACAGGGTAATCTGCAACCAGGAAACTATATAGCAAAATAAAACAATTAAATCAGTCCACGGTGCCCCCAAAATAGCATCCATCAGAGTATTATCAAAGAGGCCTCCTGAATGCTATTAATCTTAACTAGTAAGATGTTTCTTGATCTCTGAATTTACTACAGTAAAAATCTGAAATTAAAACCTGTGGTCAGTTCTTGTGGCTACGTTATGTTTACATATGTATTTACACTTAATGGGTATGTTATGTAGAATTAAGTTTGAAACCTGTGGTTAATTCTAGAGAAAGGTGATTAATAGACTACTGATTAAGAATACATTTACACTGTTATGGGCTAATGTTTGTGGTCTACCCTGCCCACTCCCAAATTCATATGTTGAAATGCTAACCCCCTCTAATTAGGAGGTGGGGGGGGGGGCCTCTGTGGTCATGAATAGGATCAGTGCCCTTATAAAAGAGACCCCAGAGAGCTCACTTGCCTCTCCTGCCACCTGAAAACACAGCAAATAGACGGCCACGTGTGAATGATGAATTGAGCACTCACCAGACACCAGATCTGTTGGCCTGGACATTCCAGACCCCAAAACTATTAAAAGTAAATGCCTGTTGTTTAAGCCCCTCAGTCCGTGGTACTTTTGCTGTAGCAGTCTGGATGGATGAAGACAATCCCCTTTTCTAACACTGTACTGACAGAAAATCAGATTTGACATTTATCATTTGGATTGTCTGCTAATACTTCTAGCTTCTCTGCTCCGGGTTGAAGCACAGTGAGTCAGCAATTATGGTTCCAGACTGCTACGACAATCTTTGGTGATGTTTCATGATTTCTTCTTGTCTGGGATTCATCTGTGAATGTGCTGACCCAGAACCCTGTGCACTCAGGTGTATTCCTCTACCCACAACTGCCAGCACTACCTTCTAGGTAAAATGAGCAGTGTTCAGGGAAGAGGGACAGCGTAATGAGTTCATGGAGGTCCGCGATGTCCTGTTTACTGGCACGCTGTGCTCTAGCAAAGAGCATAATAGTCACACTTTTGTTCTCATCATGTTGCTTTCTCCCTGCAGAGTGACCTCAGCGTCTACTAAGCACTCTCCCCACTCTGCCATCTACCTAATGGGACCACATAACAAAGGACAGGTCTTGAGCAAGACTTCGAGTGCTTTAAAGCACATCAGCGTTGCATGGCTCACTTTCATTTCATAAAGTGAAAAGTATAAAAAAGTATCAGGATTATACTTAAAAAAGAAAGAAGCAAAAAAGGCAGTCTCTGTTATAAGGACAAATGACTTATCTGCCAGACTGGTGCGTGCCCTCTGCCCTCTGCCACCCCTTGGCCCATATTCTCCCCGCCTGCTCACCAGACCGGTGCATACTCCAATGGCAAACACCATCATCCACTTGACTGCCTCATACCTGCGACCTTTCTGTTCACAGAGGAAAAGAATGACTCAGGATTATGATGGCAGCAAGGAGGGACTACATCTCAGCCAACCAGTTTCAGACTAAATTCCACATGGACAGCAAGCACAGACATGATGTCTAGTGTGGCAGGTAAGCTTTATAGTGCAAGAATGAAGAACGTGAAGGGCCAGGCCAGGTGCACTGACAGTGGACATGCTGGCTGGCAGGTTGAAGGACTAAGGAATTAGTAGATTTAATTAATAGATGGTATTAATAGATAGCCCATGAAAAGGGTTAAGAGCCTAAAGTTTAAGGAAAATTACTAAAATATTTAGAACAGAAAAAGAGGCTGTCCAAAAGAGACACAGATGTATAAAACAGTCTTTTGGACTCTGTGGGAGAAGGTGAGGGTGGGATGATTTGAGAGAATAGCATTGAAACGTGTATATTATCATATGTGAAACAGATCGCCAGTCCAGGTTCGATGCATGAGACAGGGTACTCGGGTGGGATGGGGAGGGAGGGGGGTTCAGGATGGGGAACACATGTACACCCATGGCTGGTTCATGTCAATGTATGGCAAAAACCACTACAATATTGTAAAGTAATTAGTCTCCAATTAAAATAAATTAATTTAAAAAGAAAAAGAAAAAGAGGCTGTCATAAAACCTACTTGGTCCCAAAAGATCAATAAGGAACTCACCTTATTATCCATAGTCTCCAAAACTTCCAGATAAGGGTCATTGATACAGCGATCATAATCCAAACTCTGAAAGAGGGATGTGTCAGTAAAGAAAAAGGTATAAGCAGATAGGAAGAATTACCATAACCTGGAAAGGATAAACCTTCCAGTTCCCACCACTCAAAGCACTGATGGCCAGAGCACCACCCAGGAGGGGCTTGATAAAAACAGACTCTTGGACCCCCTCAGGTCCTTCTTAATCAAAATCACTTACATGGACGTTTCAGCAGCACCCCTGCAGGTGTATACTTTATGTGTTAGGAAGTTTTAAACTAAATATTTTTAAGTGCCCTGTTTCTGCCAAACACTAAAAGACCTCGCACCCTCACTGGTGTTACCCAACTTACTCCATTGACGAACAAATGCTTCCATTAACCAGAACCAAATTAATTTAGCAAGTCTTAAAGTATCTTCTAAAGTTAGCATCTGTGAAAAAGAGGTGAGTCACGAGACAAACGTGGAGACTGTTTTAAAAAACAACTTTTGGTTTATGTTAGGGAGAGGCACAGATCCAGCCTGACTCCTAAAACAGTTCCTTAAACTTCACAGAACACAGCAGTTCTGGAAACGATCTGCAGGTGTGCCAGGGACATTTCTGAGGAACAATTCAAAGGAAGTGATTTATTTCTACATCATGCACAAGCAGCAGCAGTCTGGCACCAAAGGAAAACAGTGTGCTGTGTGCTCTCTCCCCATAACCTGTTGCTACCTACACACCAGCTAGTGAACAAACTTGGACACTGGCCTGGTAGCCACACTCCCACACAGGAGTTCAGAGTCAGCCGCTAAACAAACGCAGGTGTGACATGTGACAGTTCATTCCATTTCTGTGACTACCCAAAGTCCAAATTCCTTTTCTAAAAGGGTCCTGAAGTAGCAGCAGGTGACTGATCAAATCAACTTTTATCCACCCAACATGGAAGACTATGTAGTCATAGGGCTTCCCAGGTGGTACTAGTGGTAAAGAACTGCCTGCCAATGCAGGGGACGAAGAGACTCAGGTTGGGAAGATCCCCTGTAGGAGGGCATGGCAACCCACTCCAGTGTTCTTGCCTGGAGAATCCCATGGACAGAGGAGCCTGGCGGGCTACAGTCCATAGGGTTGCACAGAGCTGGACACGACTGAAGTGACTTAGCACGCACACATTCATGTAGCCGTAAAAAGAATTTGGACAGGTCTTCAAGGACAGATGTGGCCAATGTGCAAAGATAGAGCAAAAAAAGGCAAGATGCAAAATAAATAAATAAAGGCACATGCAGATTAAAATGTATAATAGCATCCTACTTTGATTAAACGAAGATTTGTATGTCAGCATACAATAGAAAACATTTGGGAAAACCCTTCACAATGGTTAACTCTGAGGTGTTTTTTTCAGGAGGCACTCACATCTGGATATTACCTAAAATTCTCCTGGCAAATACGGTGTACTTTTTTTGATATTAGAAACAAAATTGTCTGCCTGATTATAAAACAAAAAAAAAATCAGGAAGAAAAAAACAACCAGTAAACAATATTTCCACTGGGAAACTAGACCCATCAGTGAATGATTAAACATATATGTATTTAGTGATAATATATATATACATATATAGTTTACATACACACACACATACACGCACAGATACAGTAGACTGCCGGGAGCCGTTATGGGGGGTCCTGCCCGTGACGAGGTCATGAAGAAAATACCGGGCCGGCAAGGCCGTCCGGGACCCCATCCATGACCAGGTCACGAGGAAAAAACCTGACAGGCAAGGCCGTCTAGGATAAGGGACCCTCCAGGTTGGCCTCGGCCTCTACCCCACCCTGTATCCTCCCCCCTTTTCTGCTGTTGTTCTTGTTTGCCCTGCTGCGGATTCCTGTGTTGCCTGCCGAGAGCTCTCCTGCTCCTCTTTCACTGAGTAAAGACCAACTTAAAACCCTAATTAATAAATCTCCTGGACACTGGTACCGTACGAAGGGGCCAGGGATGAAGGAAATGCTTCAATTCAAACCCTTTTGCTGGCATTCTGGCTTGTGTGATAAATATGTGCTCTCATTGCAAAAAAAGGTCTTGATTGTTCTAAACATCCTAAGCACAGTACGCTAACAAAAGAAACTATTAAGCATAGGCCCCTTCACGGGGTGAGAAAAGCTCCACAAATATGATAGCCACAAATGTGCCTAATAGAAAATACTTTAGATAGAGATTAGCTGGCGACTTCTTGCAGGTAGTTAACTTTTAGACTAAGAGCCTGTTTTGTGCCATATCTGCTGTTTCTGCAGTCCTTCGCATTTCTGTTCTGTAAAAAATGTAATCCTATCTAGTTCCCATAGAGATGATGCTTATTAGAAAGAAAATAGATTAATTGTAAGAAAAACAGGGTCAGCTACTGAAGTTGCTTAAGTCACACCAGGTGCAAGCCATCAAATGTTAGCAGGCCTGAAGGCCAAATGATAAGAAAGACTCTTGTGAACAAAAAAGTATGTGGGTGACATCCAGTTTCTGTTGAAGGTCAAGTTGCTGTAATGTTTTGAGATGACCTGTATGTAAGCGATATGCACTTCCCCCAAAGATGTTGTTAAGGGTATAAAGGAGCCGTGCAAAAAAATAAACTTCAGACTTAGCCCCGAGCTTTGTCTCACTGTCTCTCTCATTCGCCGACGCCGTTCATCCTGAGGGTTCCCCTGGATCCTGTTGGGGCTGGACCCCGGCAGTAGACCCTTGAACAACATATGGGTTAGGGGAAGCAACTTTCCACACAGGTAAAAATCCCCATTTTGCTATTTCTCCCTCAAAAATGAAGAATTTGATAAATGGCTCAACCAAGGACAAGAAGCTGAAATAATGTGGACAGAATCAGGACTCAACCCTAGTTCTTTGGATTCCACACATTGTGATCTCTAACGGAACACAAATTTTTCCCCACACTTAGTTAAAGATCTGTAAAATGAAAATACAGGCACTATCTTTATTGGGGGAAAAAAAAAACTTGCATGTAAGTAGACCTGCGCACTTTAAACTCATGTTGTTCAAGGATTAACTATTATGTCCACACACATATACATGTGTGTATGTATATATACACACACACACACACGTTTTAATCAATTAGGTGACATCACATCCTAGAAACAAATGGGAAAAAGTTAACATGTTGAAAAATATGATATCCTTCATGCTCAATATGTATAAAAACCGCTAGCAATTATTTTTGCTTGATGGTTCTAATAAAGCTAAGGCTCCATAGACATTGAAAAGGTTTGCAGACGTCCACAACAGGCAAAGGTATAGCTACAGAAAGTAGGTTAGTGCTTGCCTATGGTCAGAGCATGAAGAATGGGCAGTGACTGCTAACAGGTGCATGTTTTCTCTCTGGGTGATGAAACTATTCTGCAATTGATTTGATGATAGTTGTGTAACTCTGTGAATATACTAAAAACCACTCCATGAAAAAATAAATAAATAAAAACCACTGCATGTACACTTTAAATGGGAAAATTGTATAGAATGTGAATTATAGCTCAATAAGGCTATTAAAAGGGACATTTAGAAAGAACTGTAATATAAGAACACCAAACTTTTTTTTAAGTTTTGAAAATTTGACACTTGGTAAACAGGTACCCAAGAACTATATGATCTATTATTAAAACCAGATAGTTACTTCTCCTTTGCCATGACTAACTTCCTTTTATTTTTGCTGTATATGTTACTCTTTGGTTTGGGAAACTAACAACTTCTTTAAAATAAAATTCTTTAAAAATAAAACTTGTATAGGTAGGCTGCAGGGCTGATGTCCATGGTTATGAGCAAAAATGGCACCCAGCTACAGGGCGCAAATGGGGACTGAGGTACAGCCCAAATTCACTCAGGAAGGCATCTTAGGGCTCACACAAAAAGCACCTTTGGTGGACCTTTAGCAGGGGTGTTGGCATTAAAATGGCTCAGAGAGGGGAGGCCTGTTATTCTAAGTCCTCAGCTCTGAGGGGTGCCCTTCTCTACCTCAAAAGGGCACTATAGGTTCTGTGACATGCAGAAAAACAATACTCCTTGGTAATGATCTCATCCCACACATAGGGAGTTGATATTATTCAAACCATCTATAATGAGAATGGATGTCAAAACAGGGATTCTAACATCTTGTAAGATCCCCACTTATTAAAGAAAGAGTCAAGTACGTACAATGAATTCTTACTAAGGCAGGAACAACACTGTGTGTGTCACTTGGTTGTGTCCGACTCTTTGCAACCCCACGGACAGTAGCCTGCCAGGCTCCTCTATCCATGGAATTCTCTAGGCCAAGAATACCAGGGTGGGTAGCCATTCCCTTCTCCAGGGGATCTTCTCAACCCAGGGATTGAACCCAGGTCTCCAGCACTGCAGGTGGATTCTTTACCAGCTGAGCTACCAGGGAAGCCAACTAAGACAGGAAGGACCACGTTTTAGAAAGATCTTCAGAAAAAGGGTTTTCTAGTGTTGATCCCTCGTAAATAAAATCTGAGCTGACTTTTCTGAGTCAATGCCTAACTAAACTTGCTCTTACAGCAAATGCTCTCAAGAAGATGGTTAATTGAGAAATATTAATGACTCACACAAAAGAACATTAACCCATAAAATTTACACAAATATGCGTATCAGGTGAGAGGAAATACATTACTGATGTGAGTGCAATTTAGCAAAAAGAGTGAAGGAAACAGAAGATCAATGGAGCAGACATGCAGTGTTGAGATCCCAGGAGGAGGATAAAAGCTGAGACAGTGTCAATTGTAACCATCAGAATGATATCACCAGGTTGAAGGAGCGATGGCAAGGTGACAGCATGATATGGATCGTCATGCTAATTCTTGCAAATCTTTCTACTGTGTACAAGCAAACACATATTTAAGAGTTATGGGACTTCCCTGATGGTCCAGGGACTAAGACTCCATGCTTCCAAAGCCAGGGGCCCAGGTTCCATCCCTGGTCAAGGAACTAGATCCCGCATGCTGCAATTAAGAGTGTGCATGCCTTGACAAAGATCCAAGGTCCTGCCTGCCGCAACTAAGACCTGGTGCAGCCAAATAAATAAAATAAATTATTTTTAAAAAGAAATATGAGACAATACATCATTGGATATAGTGCTTTTTGATTGATTAAAAGCACTCACATCAGAGTAGCACATTATACCACTGCGGTACAGCTGGCAAATTTTAGACTCTTAAAATTATTTTGTTGAGTCAATTGCAAGGGGAAAAAAAAGATGAAACAAAACAAAACAAAGATGAAAGTGGAATCTACTTCATCTCAAACCCATCTGACTTAAAAGATGTATCAAACAAGTGCAACATTAGGACCTTATTTGGAACCCAATTCAAACAAACTATGAAAAAGTACTTATGACATTTATAAGACAACTGGAAAATCCAAACACTGGTTGTTTGATATCAAGGAATTATTGTGAAATTTCTTAGGTGTGAAAATGGCATTGGCTTATGGTAGGAAAAAAAGTGTCCTTATCCACTAAAGACTTGAACTTAATTATTTATGGGTGAAATGATATGATGTACAGACTTTCTTTCAAGATAATATGGGAAGGGGGAAGTGCACGGGTGCACACATGAAACAAGGTTAGGCATGACTGAACAATGCTGTCTGATGAGTACAGGGGGTTTCAGTGTACTATTCTGCCCATTTTGTCTACATTTATGATTTGTAGCTTCTCATGGAACTTAGAAGAAAAAAAGTCCCATGAGAAACTACAAATCATAATAGATACACTAAATTCTACAGAATTAGAATCTGTAGATATTTTATAGATAAAATATTAGAAAATTAGTCTGGGTATGTTACTGCTCTAGAATATTGAATTTTTTAAGTACGGTATTTTTTTTTTAAAGTCATTAATTACAGACACGATTAATCTCACTTTGGGAATTAGTTCTAAGAAAGCAATTAAAGATAAATAAGAACGGATGGTCACCACCATGCAATTCATAACATAGAAAAGTCAGATAAAAAATATTATCTTATTTCATAAATAATGAAATACTATTTCCCCATTTAAAAATGTATTATAGAAAAGTATCTATTGATACAAAAATTTGTTATCAACTGGGAGGGAAAATCATGTTAAAATAGTGTATTTAGTAGAATTTCACTTTGTTACTTAAAAGAAGGCACAGAAAAGGACGTTTAGTAAAATGAATAGTCATCTTTCCATGAACAGGACTGTAGATTTTTCCCTAGCTTCTTTTTGCAAATCACATGAAAATCCTCTATCACAACCGTGGCTTGTTTTTGTCATTTCAAAAGTCACAGAAATGTCACTATAAGCTGACTAAATAATAAAAGTTACTCTAGCAGCACTGGCCTTACTGCTCCCCACCACACAAAACACACACATACACACACACACACACACACACACACATACTCTCTCTCTCTCTCTCTCTCTAAGTCCTGAGCATGAAGTCAGAAACTATAACCAAGAACTGACAATTCCAAGAGAAGCTGCTTGGGCAGCAAACAATCACTTGAAAACTCAGTTCTCTTAGAAGAAAAGCAAGGCTTCCTGGCTCACACGTGTTTACAAGCAAACGCTGTCAGTGGCTTTGACTCTGGGTCTCTACAAGTTACAAAAGCAAACAGTCTAACAGCAAACACATGCTCTAACCAGGTTAAGGTACAATAGATCTATGAAAGCCTGGAGACACACTCAGACCCTGCTTTGAGGCTAAGGTGAGAAAAGGGCTTCTTAAACAGCCCCTTCTGACAAAGAAGTTATCTCTTACCCACTCACTCCCAGGGAGAGAAAGTCATAGAGCATCTCTGGTTGGAATCCTAATGCTTCAGTCTGAAGTGAGCTGGTCACTCACTCCTTCTGTTACCCAAGACAGCATCTAAGAATCTTACCTCATAGTCTTTTCTTGGAAGGATCTCATCCTCCTCCTCCTGTGTTTCTCCAAGAATGGTCTAGAAAAACAAATCCAGAGAAGGGAGACCCTTTCAATGGTTTTAAAAGTGGAAAGAGGCAGAAGTATTTACTGAAACCAGCTACTAAATTCTAAATCCTCTGTAGCCATTATCATCAAATGGGAACACCTAAAACAAAGAAACAAACAAACAAAAAAACATTTTGGGATGGGGTGATGTGGTGAGGGTATATACAGTCATCAGCTGAGCTCTTCATTCCTACCATACATTCTTCAAATCACCACTCATCTTCAGGACACTTCAAAGATGTCACCTGCCAGCTCTAGGGGGAAAGACTTCAGGTTTCTGCTGACAACACGTGGAGTCTTACATCAGGAGAGACTTGTCAAGTCTGAGGACACAATTCAAGTTTTCCCAGGGTGCTTTGCAGAGGGAAGCTGGATTATCAGTGACCCAGAAAGGGTGAAGGATACAGTGACAAAGCGCTGGAAAAACTAAGCCAGCGGCATGATATGTAAAGTCCAGTAAAGGGGCTCATTCTGAAATGCTCGTTTCATTCAAAACTCCTTTTAAGTGGAAACTAAAAAATTAATGTGTATGAGATTGACTGGAGCTGGCCTAGATCTTCCCTCAGATTCCAGGGAGGGCTTATGAGAAAAGACCCCAGACTTGGGCACGTGAGGCTGGCAGATGCTTCAAGAGCCCGGGCTGCGGAGCCCAGGCCCCACCCGCGGCCACCTGCGGGCCTAGCTCGACCCGGCCCCACCCCCCGGCAACGCCTCTCGCCGTCCCTTAGCAACCGCCCCCTCCCCAGCCCGACTCCACCCGCTCCTTACCAGCTCCTCCGGGGTGCGGGTCTCACGGTCACCGCAGCAGCAGCACCACCTGCAGCAGCAGCACAGGGACCCCCTGCATCCCGCCATCTTCCTCCTATACTGCCACTCTGGACCCCTCTGCCAACCCCCCTCCCACCCAGGATCCGAGCCTCACGTGACTGGTCCCGGGAGTGTCACGTGGCCCTCTTGAGCTTGAGGTTGGAGACGGGGAGTGGCTGCAGACGGGTGGGGCGAGGGCTCGCGTCACATGACGGCGGAGGGCCGGCTTCCAACGAGACTTCTGGGCGCGGCCATGTTGGGGGCGGGGCTTCCGGGCGTCCGCGAGGGCGGTTTCCGTCCTCTGCTCCCACCTCCCTTAGCAACCTGACACCCGCGCCTCGCCTCTTCCCGGGCCCCGCCCCCTCCGCCGGACACTCTTTAGCCGCCACACAGCTGTGGAGGCCGCGAGTTCTGAGTCATCCGTGACCAGAGGGTGAGTGACGGCGAGGCGTACGTCGCCCGCGGGGGAGACCCGGGCCTTGGGGGCCACCCACCCAGGGGCGGGCTCTTGCTGGGGGGGCGGGGAGCGATGGAGGCTGGCCAGCCCTCTCTGCGCGCGCGTCCTCGGTGAGACTAAAGTAGCCCCCACTGACTGCCCTGCGACCCCCCCAGCCCTGGAGCAGAGACTCAGTTTCGGCCCCCAGCCTGGACGAAGGGACTTCAGGGCTGAGGCGGCTCTGAAGTGGGGTGGTGACCCAGTGCCCTGGGACCGGACTTGGGCCTTGGTTTCCGCCCCCGCCCGTGACCCAGTGACCCGGTGATTCTGTTCGCAGCGCGCCAGAGCGGGTGAACACCTTGAGAAGAGCCGAGGGCCGCTGGCACTGCTGTCCCCGACGCCACTGCATCGGGCTGCACACAAGTGCCCACCTGGACCCCTCTAAGAGTGACGGGCTCCAGTATTTCCCCACTGTTCCAGGTGCCTGGCACCGATTAAGTAAGTGCTCATCAAATGGCAGAGGGGCTTCCCAGGTGGCTGAGTGGTAAAGGGCCCGCCTGCCAGTGCAGGAGAGGCAGAAGACACCGGTGCCATCCCTGGGTCCCGAAGATCCTCTAGGAAAGAAAAGGACAACTCAATCCTGTATTCTTATCTGGGAAATCCCATGGACAGGGGAGCCTGGCAGGCTACATGGAGTCACAAAAAGTCGTAAACACTGAGTGATTGAGCACGCACATCCATTGGTGGAGGGTTGTTTTGAGAACAGTGTGACAGTGCCTGGCCTGTTGGTGCCCAGTGAGTGCCAGTTGTTATTACCAGATGCCAGACATTGGGATACCATAGGCAGAATACTTGGCCCTGGTCTCAGGGAACTGGGAAGAAGAGAGAGAAACATGTGAATCCCAGCTTCAACAGGGTCCTTTGGGGTCCTGGCTTAAAATGGATTAAGTGGTAGCACCTGAAAAAGTGGTGAAACAAGTTTAGTGCCCAGTCAGAGCTAGGAAGCCTTCATGAACAGACGAAGGAGCAGTTAGTTTGTAGGTGGTTCAGCCTCTTCCCCTGCTCCTGTTTTGGTCCAGCAGATGATTAAGAATGCACTCCCTTGTTTTCAGAGGAGAGACCATACTTGGCTGACACACATACTTGACACACTCCCCTTTCTTACACTTCGTGTTCATCCCTTACGGAGAAACTGGAGCTTTTAGGTCAGAATCAAAATGGGCATCCCTCAGGATGGAAAGCACAGTCTGGAGTCAACTCCTTGACCCTGGATGTACCAAGGACACTTGTGTATGTTTTAGGGTAGAGAAGCATTGGATTTCATCAGTTTCTCATGAGTCTAGGACCCCAAACTAGTTAAGAACATGGGCTTGGCAGTAGGCATTCCCTGAAACACATGATCTTGGCCTGGTTGTTCCTCTAATGTTCTGCGTTGCCACACACTGGATACTCTTGTGGTGCATGAGTAGTGTGTCCCATGTTCCCCACCAAACTGCCCCATGGCCCTGTGCCCTCTGTCAGCCTGGCCTGCCTGTGGTTGCCATGGTTCACGGCTTCAGCTGTGGTGGCTGTGCAGTTTCTTGAACTGACCTCACTGATGTGTGTAAGGACAACAGCTTGAAAGACATGCACAGGCTGGACAGTCTTTGTTCCAAGTTGGACATAAATCCATGCCCTTACAGAACTTGGATCTGGCTACTTTTGGAACCCAGCCAATGTCAACTTCTAACCCATGACGTGGTCTTGTCCGAGAATCACAAACTTGGGAGAAATCTGGCAGATTCGTCAAGCCCTAAGCCCTTCCATCTTGCGTGCACACAAACTGTTTCCAGTCCCCGGAGATGTTTCCAGGGCCAAACTGTTCCTTCTTTGGCGAGTGATCCAGTCGCCCTGAACATCTGTTGACCTCATCTCCACCTAAACGCTGCGGTCAGCAGCCCCACGTCCCCCTCCTCCTATCCATCTTCGACCACTTTAGTGCCTCAGCCCTCCCTCTCGCCTGGAAGCCTTGCGCCCGCCCCCTCGCGCTGGCCCCAGCTACAGCTTTAAACTCTTCCTTTGTCATGGCTCCGCCCACTCAGGCACACCCGCTGGGGAAGGTTCTTCGTTTCTCAGTATCTGAGGTCCGGGGTCTGAGTTTACCCCGGCGGAGATGGACCGTCCAAAACCCAAGGTCTTCCCAGTGGGGCACTGCTGCCCCTCCCTGGGAATGCGAGCCTCGGAGGCTGGCAGCAGAAGGTTCTCAGTGCCACCCTCCATCAGGTAGCGGTCTCAGAGGACCCAGGGGCTGAGGAGCATGTGCCGGGTGGGGGCTGACGTCCCTGGAGTCAGGCAGCAGCGGAGGGCCAAGCTTGGAGCGAGGCAGCACAGACAGTCCTTACTGCGGAGCCGCTGGGTGGGGGCTTTGTCACCCAGACCCTCACCGGCCGCCTTCCTCCGTGAAAACGCAGCATCCCTCACCTGACCCTGCCACGCTGGGGCTCGGCCACCTGCCCCTCCGTCTCACGCCCCCTGCCCTCGCCCCCGCCCCCGTGCAGCAGGAACTCGGCCATGGTGAACGAACCCAGAGGGAACGGAGGCCCCGGCCCCCGCTGGGAGGGCAGCAGCAGCGGCAGCGAGAGCTCCAAGGATAGTTCAAGGTGCTCCACGCCGGGGTTGGACCCCGAGCGATGCGAGAGACTCCGTGAGAAGATGAAGCGGAGGATGGACTCTGGTGACAAGTGGTTCTCCCTCGAGTTCTTCCCTCCCCGAACTGCCCAGGGCGCTGTCAATCTCATCTCCAGGTGAGTTGGTGTAAGATAAGGAGTAGACTGGGGAGTGGAGGCAGGGTGAACAGGTGAACTGTCTGCCCTGCGGCTGGGCTGCACTTTGACCCAGCAGAGAAAAGGTAGCTCCAAGGGCTGGAATGAAGCCAAACCAGGAGAGATGCTTTGGTATGCCGCTAGCCACTTCCTGGTCTGTAAAAGTCTCTCCAGGCACGTGGAATTTTTATTCACAGTCTTCCGTGAGTTAAGAATGTTCATTCTCCCAGACAGCATTCTTTGATGGGGTTTGTGGCTAGATCAGGAGTAGAGTTTAGAAAGTTAAAAAACAGCGGCTTGGAGAACATTTTTAGCAAGTTTGGCATTTGGGATTATGCCCTTGAAATCGAGAAATGCCAACTGGATTGCATTAGCGCTTTATGAATTGCAGTTCTTTTTTTAAAGTTTATGCTTTGTGTTGCTTGCACTTATGTGTCATTCCCAAGGTTGTGAAATTTGAAGGCACAAAAATGTGCAAATGCACCACAGCTTATAATGGGCTTCCTTGGTGGTTCAGATGGTAGAGAATCTGCCTCCAATGCAGGAGATCCGGGTTCGATCCTGGGGTCAGGAAGATCCCCTGGAGAAGGGAATGGCTACCCACTCCAGTATTCTTGCCTGGAGAATTCCATGGACAGAGGAGCCTGGCAGGCTACAGTTCATGGGGTCAAAAAGAGTTGGACACAGCTGAGTGACTAACACTTTCTCTTTTTCACAACTCTTATAACACAGCATCCATGTGGCTCTTGATACTAGTCCTGGTAATGTGGCCGTGCTCTGCAGGACTCTGGGCTGCTGCCAGGACTGGGCAGTGGTGGGGGGCTGGGGGGTGGTGGAGGCGGGCAGCATGGAAGAAACTTGTGTTTGCTGACCCTCTTTTTCCCTAGAATAAGGCCCTGCTTGCCACTCTGAGGAGTGCCCTGAACCCTTATCCTTCAAAATGTCTTAATTCACCCGAGATGGTAAATATGCGAGCACTTTGAAAAGTCCAAAGTGCTGCTCTCACAGAAAATGGCTTTATTGTTGTTATCTTTGCAATAAGTGTAATCATAATAGCAGCACATTGATTGCTTGTTCACTGCGTACCTGGCACTGTTCTTGAGTCGTGGGGCCATCTGTCATGATGTCCTCAGAGTGTTATTAAGAAGTAGGCAGTGTCCCCTGCCACATTGTAGAAATGAGAAAACTGAGGCACAGAGAGTTTAAGTAATTCTCCCAAGATCGCACAGTTGGTGAGTAGCAGAGCCAGGATGTGAATGCAGGTCAGTCTGATGCCAACCTGCAGGTGAGGCTTCTCTAAGTTCAAGACCCCATGGGAAGGTGGTGACGGGTGGTGCACCCCGAGGAGCCCTTCCTCAGAAAGAAATTCCCTACAGGTTTGACCGGATGGGAGCGGGTGGCCCCCTCTTTGTAGACGTGACCTGGCACCCAGCCGGGGATCCTGGCTCCGACAAGGAGACCTCGTCCATGGTGATTGCCAGCACCGCCGTGAACTACTGTGGCCTTGAGACCATCCTGCACATGACCTGCTGTCATCAGAGCCGGGAGGAGATCACGGGCCACCTGCACAAAGCCAAGCAGCTGGGCCTGAAGAACATCCTGGCGCTGAGGGGAGGTGTGGAGCCAGCAGCCTGCTCTCTGGGGTCTTGCTTTCTGGAGGACCTCTTTTGTCCCTGCAATGGTCCTTTTCTTTTTTTCTGGGTCCCATCCCTGCCAGGAGCATCAGTAGGTGGTATGGGTCAAGAGGACCATTGGTGACACACAGATGGAGCCACTTTTTGACCTCTTGACCTCTCAGTAGGAATTCAGTCAGGACTGCAGCTGGTGCCTGATAACCCTCTGTTGTGATGTATACCACTGAATCGATCCCTTCCTGCTCCTGGCTTTTGACCCAGTCACAGAGTTCAGCTCTGACCTGGGTCCCAGGAGTGAGAGTAGCTGGTTATGCCTCTGGCCCGGGCTGTCATTGGGGGACACAAATGTGGGAAGCAGCAGTCTGCTGGGCGGGCCCTTGTGGCCTCTTGCTCCCTATCCCCAAAGGCCACGTTTCACCTAAGATGAGTAGAAGCTTCTCCCAGGAGGCAAGAGTTCCCAGGGAGTGGAAGAGTGAGCAGTGGGCTTGGGCCAGGTGCCTGGACACACCCACGTGTGAACAGGTGGGTGGGATTTCAGATGCTCCGGGCTGAATGCCGAGTGGCAGCTGTTCTCTGCCAGCTGCTGCCCGCATCTGTGCCTGGTGACTGTTTGCTGGCTTGGCTGCTGTCATCGCTCCCACTGTTTACCAAGTGCTACAATGGAAAGCTCAGACACCAACTTAAGTAATAGGAAGGCTCTGCCTTCGAGATTCTGTTGGCCCTGGGTGTGGGTGTGGGGAGAAGGAACAGAGAAGTTCCTGGAAGTGGGGTGAGACCCAGCACTGTGACCTCCAACCTTGCAGACCCCATAGGTGACCAGTGGGAAGAGGAGGAAGGAGGCTTCAACTATGCTACGGACTTGGTGAAGCACATCCGAAACGAGTTTGGTGACTACTTTGACGTCTGTGTGGCAGGTGAGGGGCTGGGGTGTCCCAGTGGGTGGGGCCTGAGAGAGGAAGGAAGGAGAGGCACAGATGAGGACCTCAGAAGGTTCAGTGCACCACGGGGGCCTGCCTGCACCGTTGGGGGAGGCATGTGCTGTGATGGAATGGAGTGATGGAGGTGCAGAGGTGAGTTGGGCAGACCACATCTTCTGCCTTTTCCTCCTCCTCTCATACACCATGCTCCTGGGAGTGTCACCATCCCTTAATTTTTTTTCTAGTTTTATTTTTTAAAAAGATTTATTTATTTTTGGCTGTCCTGGGTCTTCATTGCTACACGAGGGCTTTCTCTAGCTGTGGTGAGTGGTGCCCACTCTCTAGTTGCGGTGCTCGGGCTTCTCACTGCAGTGGCTTCTCGTTGGGGAGCGTGGGCTCTAGCGCACGAGGGCTCAGTAGCTGCGGCACACAGGCTTCGTTGCCCCACAGCATGTGGGATCTTCCCAGATCAGGGATTGAACCTGTGTCCCCTGCATTGGCAGGCAGATTCTTAACCACTGGACCACTAGGGAAGTCCTCTGTCCATTTTTAAAATGTAACATCACTCAGATGTTTTGATGCAAAGCAGCTTTTCTTTTCATTTTGAATTTGGAAGTACTATACAACTGAATACAATGGAATGAAAAGTACCAACACTGAACTTGTGATTCTCTGTTCGTGTAGCATAAACCAGTGTCGTATGGCCAGGGCTTCTCTGTTCTTAGACCTGTGCCCACTGTTGGGACCCCCTTCCTCTCCCCTTCTTCTTCAACTCCTGGTGGCCAAAATCTAACCACCCAGACTTCCAAGGAAGATATGTATGTGTTCTTGACCTGATGAAAAAAGGATGTTACATTTGCCTGTGAAAGGGAAAAGAGTCACATTATTTTTAACTGTATTAGGGAGGTATGAACAGTTTCAAAGTGAGGTTTTATTTACTCAAGGTGAACATGAATCAGAACCAATGATTTCCCCCCACCCCATATCCCTTCATACTGTAAAGTTTTGTTCCTCTGCCTTTTCTTGCCATTAGCCTGTTCCCCAACTCTATTCCTCTTCAAACAAAAGAGATATATTTATTAAGATTTCGAGGGCAGGGAATCTCAGAATAAGGTCAAGAAATGGCATCAGACCTCACTAAGCCCTGGAATCCACAGCCTTCCCTCATCCTCCCTGGGGCCGCAGAGCGTCATCTCTGCCTTCCACTGCTCCATGCTTCATCCAGTAGATCTAATATGTATACTTTCCCTGTCTCTGATATGTATGGTACACACGTGACCCACTGCTTGCTCCTGAGTGTAGCGAAGATGGATCTACAGGCCTCAGTGATAAATCCAGATCTCAGGAGAGAGAACTCTAGTTTTAACTGTAGTTTCTTTAGCTACAGCCAGGAGGTGAGGTTAACCTGCTAGAAAGAGAGGGCGTGGCCTTCCCTCTTGCCTGCACTGCTGGGGGCTGGACTTTAAGCTTCTCGAATAGGGGCTTAAGTATGATGAGGCAGTGTGTGCCAGACACACCGGAAGTCCAAGGATTCATTTGACGCATCATCTTGGTGTGATGATTTTTTCAAATATTTTGGAGAAAATGATATCACTCTTACTAAAACAAACCCAGCTATGTTATGGAGTAGAACATCGGAGTGACCTGGATTTTAAAAAGTAAGCCATGTGACTTCAAGGAAATTACTTTTTGTGGGGGCTTTGGGCTGTGTCCCCAGGCCCCCAGTGTATAGGTCCACTGTTCTCAGTGTTCAGAATAGGGTGTTGAGGTAGATGAGAGTGGGAGACCCTGATGAGGAATTGGGAATTCAAGTGTCCTTGCTCACGGGGCCATAAGACAGTCGGTTGATTGTGGAATGTGCCCACATGCGATGGGCATTGGATGGTCACAAGTTAAAACCAGCAGAGCTGTGAGCATGCCGTTGCCAAGCAGTTTGGTGCCTTGCTCATGGTGAAGTGGATGAGAAAGCAGACGGGTGCATTAGAAAGCACCCAGCTGGCCACCATAGAATAAGAATGTAGCAAAACCCGAACATCAGCAACTGCTGGATCTGTTGGGTGCTGTTGAGGTTTTCTAGAGTTTCGGCTGTTAAAACCTCTGTTTCTGAAATTCCTGCTGGAAAAATAGCCTTGTTGAAAGTGTAACAGTCTGGTGTTTAATCCTCCCACCCCCTTGTCCCTGAAACAGTAATTCTTCTATCCATTTTTGATGACTCGGGCTTTCTTAAGAATGAAACTGCCTTGTAACAGCAAAGCAGCCTGGCTGTCCAACAGCATGGGTTCAGGAATTTCACTTCCTGCCTTAGGGTCCTGCCCTGGCCTCAGGCTGAGGAAGCCAGTGCTCTGCTTGTAGTTCATTAGGTCCTCCGTTCGGTGCAGGCAGAGCCACTAGTGAGTTTAGTCCTTTAGGGAAGTGGGGTGGGGTGGGGTGGGGTGAGGTGTACCATTCCTGGAGCTAGAGGTGCCTTGGGGAGGTCTGGCCCCACCTCCCAGACATCCCTACCATCCCAGCATGTGGACATCCGTGTCCCGCCCACCCCACCCCACCCCATGTTTTCACACTCTGGGAGTTTGTTGTTTTGTGGGGCTGCTCTTTCCACTGTCAGGCGGAACCATCAGAAGCAGCACAGAATATGGTGAATAAGGAACTAAGGTCACTCTGTTTTCCTGGTGACAGACATGTGGGCATTTAGGAATAATTACCATGTTCTCTCCATTCTTTTCTTCAAGCAGAACCTCTCCATTCTCTTCACTTCTTCCTTGTGTAACGTGGTTCTGGCTGTATCGTCTGGCACCACTGAGTGATTTTGATGTGAAATTAAAAGCACTGTTTTCATCCGGTACCTAGAGTCAAGCCCATCCTCCCAAGCTGCCCAGCCAGTGTGAATGTAGCATTTTCTCTTTTCTGTGGCCACCAAGTCCAGGTCAACTTGGCCTGACTAATTGCATGGACCATGAAGCATGACAGTGTGGGGATTTGAGGGCAGTCCACCCCCACTCTTGTGGTGGGGGTTGCTGACTGTAAGCCAGCTCTCCCCGAGGGTCACCTTCAGGGCGAGGGGCCCATCTAAGCAGTGCAGCCATCACCACTTCAGCCTATCCATGCTGAGAGGCTAGAAGGTATGGGTCCGGAGTTGTCCATTGCCAGCTCTCTGGTTTCTTCATCACTCACCTTGAGCGGGTGGAGCCAGCCTCTTTCTGTGGTATCCCTGTTGGCAGGTTACCCCAAAGGCCACCCTGAAGCAGAGAGCTTTGAGGCCGATCTGAAGCACCTGAAGGAGAAGGTGGCTGCGGGAGCCGACTTCATCATCACCCAGCTGTTCTTTGAGGCTGACACGTTCTTCCACTTTGTGAAGGCTTGCTCCGAGATAGGCATTACCTGCCCCATCCTCCCCGGCATCTTCCCTATTCAGGTGAGGGTCCCAGGAGTGCTAATGGACTCCCACCACCGCCCCTGCTCATGCTAGCACTTCCCCCTTAGCCAGGGCCCTGGGGTGAAGTGCCAAGTTCAGGCTCAAGTTCTTTCTGATTCATTAGATTTTCATTAGATAGATGCTCAGTCTTTGCAAAGTGCTGTCTTGCCAGCTACTTCAGACCCCTGATGTCTTCTCAAATAGCAGTAGTACCTGTCGGAGGGGCTTGCCGATAAGTGTCACTGAAAGGGGTTATTACTCTCATTATAAATTTTGGTTAATGGTTTCCAAACTTCACTGTCATCAGAATCATTTAATGAGCTTTTTCAAAGGCTAGATTTCCAGACCCCGTACCTTGAAGTTCTGGTTCAGTAGATCTGAAGTGGGGCCTGGGAATCTGTCCATTATTTCTTAAATGTGGTGGACGATTCTGGTGATTGGTGAGGCTTGGGAACCACTGGCTTAGATGACCACTGTGCTATCAATAGATACATCTAGGGGCCAAAGGGCTGCCTCAGGCCTGTGGCTGAGATGCTATGAAGTATGAAAGTGTTAGTCAGTCATGTCTGCCTCTTTGTGACCCCATGAACTGTAGCCCGTTCAGCTCCTCTGTCCATGGCATTCTCCAGGCAAGAATACTGGAGCGGGTTGCCATTCCCTTCTCCAGGAGATCTTCCCAACCCCGGGATCGAATCTGGGTCTCCCTCATCGCAGGCAGATTCTTTACCATCTGAGCCACCAGGAAAGCCCAAGGGATGTTGTAGACAGCTGCCCTAATCTGCAGAGTAGAAAAAGCTGGAGTAGGCAAGGGTGTTTGCGTCCATGGCCTGACTGTCCTGCATGGCCTGACTGTCCTGGGTCACCCTGCGCACTACAGGGGCCAGGAGACCTGGTGGGGGGATGAGTATGTGGGGTGAGAGACGGGCTGGGAGATGGCACCTGCAGCACCCCATGTCTTGGGCAGGGCTACCACTCCCTCCGGCAGCTGGTGAAGCTATCCAAACTGGAGGTGCCACAGCAGATCAAGGACGTGATCGAGCCCATCAAAGACAATGACGCTGCCATCCGCAACTATGGCATCGAGCAGGCAGTGAGCCTGTGCCAGGAGCTGCTGGCCAGCGGCTTGGTGCCAGGCCTCCACTTCTACACCCTCAACCGCGAGGTGGCCACCATCGAGGTGCTGAAGCGCCTGGGGCTTTGGATCGAGGATCCCAGGTGAGGCTAAAGGCCCCGAATTCAAGCCTGGGAGCCCCAGAGGAGAGTCGGGTGGGTCAGGAAGTCAGAAGTCACAGAATGTGCGCACCCTAGCTGTGCCAGCCGCCACGGGACTCAGAGGGTTGTGCAGTGTCTAGTGTCAGGGCTCCAGTCTCAGCCGGAACTGCCTGTCCAGCTTGATGTTTGAGTTCAATGGAAGAACGTGGGCTCAGTGCTGCCTCCCTCCCTCCCTCTGTCCAGTCCTTGACCCTTTCTGTCTACGTTCTCACACAGGCGTCCCCTGCCCTGGGCCCTCAGCGCCCACCCCAAGCGCCGGGAGGAGGATGTCCGGCCCATCTTCTGGGCCTCGAGACCAAAGAGTTACATTTACCGCACACAGGAGTGGGACGAGTTCCCCAACGGCCGCTGGTGAGTGGGTTTATCCGGATGAGGAGGGAGAGTGAGTGTGGAGGAGCCCTTCGGACAGAATTCCCAGGAATGCACCAACCCCAGGGCAGGTGGAGGCCATTGTCTATCTGGAGCCCAAGGTCAGGAGTGCGACTTGACTTAGGGCACCTCCTCCGCCAGGGGCAACTCCTCCTCTCCGGCCTTTGGGGAGCTGAAGGACTACTACCTCTTCTACCTAAAGAGCAAGTCCCCAAAGGAAGAGCTGCTGAAGATGTGGGGGGCGGAGCTGACCAGTGAGGAAAGCGTCTTCCAAGTCTTTGCCCACTACCTCTCGGGAGAGCCCAACCAGAACGGCTACAAAGTGAGTGCAGCTGGGGTGGGATCCCCGGGTACCCTCATCCTGTGGGCCAGACGCCCTACCCTGAGCCTTGTCGCTGTGTCTGGATGTGGCACCTCAGCCAAGGGAGGAGGTGAGTCAGGGGGTCCCCATGCGGGGTGCCTGGAAGGGGCTTGCAGAGGCAGAGACAGGCTAGGTCTCTGATGGGGCCTGTAACAGGGAGGGACCGAGGGTGCCAGGTCGGGTTGTTGCCCCAGCCGGGCTCACCCTCCTCAGGTGACTTGCCTGCCCTGGAATGACGAGCCCCTGGCGGCCGAGACCAGCCTGATGAAGGAGGAGCTGCTGAGAGTGAACCGGCGGGGCATCCTCACCATCAACTCCCAGCCCAACATCAACGGGAAGCCATCCTCTGACCCCATCGTGGGCTGGGGCCCCAGTGGGGGCTATGTCTTCCAGAAGGTGTGGCAGGGATCCGCAGGGCTATGCACCCCTTGACCTGCATGCAGGGATTCTCCAGGGCTGAGGACACAGAAGCCTTCCTCTCGGAGACTTTTAATCTGAACAGCAGTGAATCAAAGTGGGCGGGAGCTCAGACTCAGTCGGACAGACCTGGGTAGAATGGTCACTTGGCTGCCCCGAGCCTCAGCTTTCCCTTCTATAAAATGGGGATACGTCAAGTGTTCTGGGAATTAAACACAACAAAGCACGTAAGGTGCTTAGCATGAGGGAAACATCTCCTAACTGGGAGCTGTTATTACTGTTCCTTGTGGATCCCTTTCTCCAGGGGCTGCTAGAGTCAAAATTACATTCTGAACTAAAGCCTGAAGGCTCAGGGGGTAGAAAGACTTGCGTTTGAATACCAGCTCTGCTGTGTATAGTCAGTGCAGACAAGTTCCTTAGCTTTCCTGAACTTAAGTTTCCTCATCTGTAAAATGGAGCTAACAGCCCCCACCTTGCAGTTTTATGAGTATTATAGCAAGTGAATTTAAATAAACCCAGCTTCAGTTTCCTGGCATCCAGTGATTAAGACTCCACACTTCCAATGCAGGTGGGTGGGTTAGATCCCTCAGTCAGGGACCTAAGATCCCACATGCCGTATAGTGTGGCCAAAGTTTAAATAAAGAAATAAACCCAGCTTAATTCCTGATGGCCAGGTGGTGCTGGAGAAGCCCTCCACCCAACAGATGGGATAGGAGACAGGCCTCTCTTGCCAAACTGGGCCCCTTGTACAGCTTCTGAAATGGTTTCTCCATGGACGCTTTCTCCATTGGATGGAAGGGTGCCAGATGGCCCTCAGACCCGTCAAGACCAAGAAACTGCACTTGCTTGCTCCCGTCCCTGTCATTCATGTATTTGCTAACTCCAGCTAGTGGCCACTGTTCATCCCAACATCTTAAGCGTCCTGCCACATGTGTCCTCATGGGTGCCTCCCCGGCACGGTCAGCAGAACAAGCGTCCAGTGTTTCAGAGCACAGAGCTCGCTCAGCAGCGCCCATGGAAGGTGTCCAGTGAGGGCAGCAGGTTACGTGACAGTGCCTGTCTCCTTCCCGCAGGCCTACTTAGAGTTCTTCACTTCCCGAGAGACGGTGGAGGCGCTTCTGCAGGTGCTGAAGAAGTATGAGCTCCGGGTGAATTACCACATCGTGGATGTGAAGGTAGGCCAGCCTTGGGTCAAAGGACACCTGGCAGGGCCAGAGCACCAGGGCCAAGGGCACCACATTTACTCTGCCATTCAGCAATCATGGAGCGCCCAACTGGGCCAGGCATTATGCCAAGTGGATTAGAAGACAGAGCCAGGCCTCACCCTCCTAGAGCTCCCAGCCTAGCGAGGAGGCCATCAGTGGATAATTATGAATGGGTGCAGGCGGCTGCACTTTGTAACAGTGAACTTCAGCAGAGGAAGCTGGAGATGTGGGAGGGATGTCTAACTTGAGAGGTCAGAGGAGGCGATGGGAGGGATCCTGTGTAACCTGAATCTTTAAGAACGAGGAGCAGAGGGCAATCCCGAGAAAAGCCCGAGGGTGTGCAAAGGCCTCACTGCTGAATGGGGTCAGAGGGAGGCCCAGGTCCTCAGGGGGCTCAATTGTCCTGCTTGGCATTTGAGGTTTCCTTTATAGGCAAGAGGTAGCCTTGGCCCTGTGTTTGATTGGGGGCAGATCCCAGTGGACAGCTATGTGGATAACAGGGTTGGGCAGACAAGAGTCCCCAGGCCTGGTGGTCTAAGTAGCAAAGAGAGGCCTGGCCAGGTGAGACATGAGAGGAAGTGAGCAGAGCCACTGAAAGAGGAGCTGATTGGCACCTCGGGCGGAGGACAGAAAAGGCCAGGATGACTTCTGGCTTTCAGGCTTGTGGCTAGTCACAGAGCTGCAGAGCTGGGAGGCGGAGAGGAGAATGGGGTGCGTGCTCCAAGTGAGAGGACTGCAGCTGTCTGCACCCCAAGTCTACTCCTACCCACCCCCCCAGGGTGAAAACATCACCAACGCCCCTGAGCTGCAGCCCAATGCGGTCACCTGGGGCATTTTCCCTGGCCGAGAGATCATCCAGCCCACAGTGGTGGACCCGGTCAGCTTCATGTTCTGGAAGGTAAGGGGGCGGGAGCAGGCCTGTCCTGCCCACCTCCAGAGCCTTGGGCGGGCGGTGTTGCTAGGTCCTGGGTAGGTGGCTGGAGGCCGCACCCCCGGGGCTGGTAGCACCCTGACTCTGACTCACGGTGTTTATCTCTGACCCAGGGAGGGGGGTGGCACTGGTGATGGGCTATGCTGAGTTCTTGGAAAACGTCCTGTTGGGCAGCAGCAGAGGCCCTTGGGGTGCTGAGCATGGAGCCCCGACGTAGAGGCAGCTCTGTTAACTTGGCTGTTGTGTCTGTGTATCTCTGTATGTGGGACTGTGCGTACCTGTGCCTCTGTGTGCCTGCGTCTCCGTGTGTGTGTGTTTCTGTATGTGCGATTGTGTGCACCTGTGCTTTCCTGTATGTTTGCCTGCGTCTGTGTGTGTGTCTGTGTGTGTCTGTCTCTGTGTGCATACCTGTGCCTCTGTGCGTGTGTGCCTGCGTCTGTGTGTGTCTGTGTGTGTCCGTCTCTATGTGAGACTGCGTGCCTATGCCTCTGTGCGTGTATGCCTGCATGTCCGTGGGTGTCTGTGTGTGCGCCTGTGTGCTCGCATGTGCTCACGTGCAGGATGAGGCCTTCGCGCTGTGGATTGAGCAGTGGGGCAAGCTGTATGAGGAGGAGTCCCCCTCCCGCATGATCATCCAGTACATCCATGACAACTACTTCCTGGTCAACTTGGTGGACAACGAGTTTCCACTGGACAACTGCCTGTGGCAGGTGGTGGAAGACACGTTTGAGCTTCTCAGCAGGCCCCCCCAAGATGAGAGGGAGACAGAGGCGCCGTGACCCTGCACCCTCACCACCTTGGCTTGAGGCCACTGTGTCCCACCTTCCTCTTCCCCGTCCTGGCTCTCTGGGAGACCCCTATTCTTTGTTTCTCCCCAGCCTTGGCCTCCACCCTCTGATACAATGATGGCATCTAGACTGGTGTGAGGCTCCGAGGCTCTGGCTGGACTTGAGTCTGCCCCACACAGGAACCTGGTGTTCCTGCTCAGCTGAGAGTCTGTGCTCTGGTGGGGAGCAGCCCCTTCCACAAGGACCCCATGGGCAGAACACTGTCCACCCCAAGAAGGGCTGTTGCTAACGGAGCCCCTTGGGGCCAGCCTGGGACTGCCAGTGACCTTGCTCCTGGGGCGCCAGGAGAACAGGCAAAGTGAACATTGCAGCAGGTCCTGTGGGACTGCAGAGGAGACATGGCAAGGTCATAGCGCCTCACCCTTCCACCTCCAAGGCATTGGCAGCCAGGTGCCACCCATTTGGGAATGAAGAGGCAGCCACTGCCCCGCCTGCCAACTGCCCCATCAGGCAGCGGCCCCTGGACGACCTTGGACTGAAACCTAATAGTTTTGGCCTCGTTTTAGCAGAGAGCTCAACTGGGTTTCTCCCCTTTCTACGGTGCTGCTGTTTGAAAGACTTAACCCCATGACTCGACAAACTGCCTCTAAAGGCTTAATGGTGTCTGAACCCTTGTACCCTTGGCCTTCCCATTTCTCCCCTGGCCCTGAAGGGTGAAAGAATATCCTGCCTGTTACCATCAAGGGTGAAGATGAAGTTGGCTGAGCCCGACTGACTTCTTCCTGGCTTATTTTTCAGGCAGAAGCCCCTCCTCCTGCCAGCTGCTTCCTCCCCTCGGAGCACGCTGTCCAGGAAGCTGTCTGCCTGGCACTGCTCCCCGCTGTCCAGGGGAGCTTGTGACACAAGCACACAGGCTGGTCCCTGTCCTGTGAGTCTTCACCAGCTCAGGGGCAGGAGAGAGAGGCGTGTGTCCACAGAGCAGCCTGATGGCAGAGGAAATGGATCACGGGCTGGCTGGTGGGGGCGGGCACCCTTTAGGAGTTACAGAGAAGCAGCTGGAGTTAAGGAGGGCATTTTATTGTCCTTCAGAGCTCTTGGCCTGGGCGCTCTGTGGCCTGAGCCTGCGCTCCGCAGATGGGTGGAGCTCCGATTTGTTTTCCTTTCCATGAGAACATGTCACAGCTGCAGCTGGGCCCCCTTCTCCGCCCCAGGTCCACCCAGTGCTGGGGCTCTGGCAGCTTCCGTTCTGCTTCCAGGCCTCCTGAGGCCTGTCTTGCTCCAGGGCCTCATGCTGCTGCTGGCTCTGGCCCTCACGCCCCTGGCTGCCAGACACTGGTGCCACTTGTTAAAGGCCTGGAATCAGGGAGGGAGGAGCTCTTTGGCCCCTTCCAGTTCTGTGTGGTCAGTACTGGGCCCAGATCCTTCTGTCCCTGAAGGAAGAGGGGGCCCTTCCCTCTGCCCCAGGCCAAAAGCCCCAGCTCAGGATACATGTGTTTGTGACCAGGGAAGCTGGGCTCTGAGTGCATGTCAGGAAGGGGTGACGCTCAGCAACCCACAGCCATCACCGGCTAGTGTGAACAACAGCTGTATCATGGACCAAGCCTAGTCTCCAACCAGTGACTGTAGGACTGGGTGGAGCCCTTGGTCACCAGCTGAATTAAGGAATCCAGGTTGTTTTCTCTGAATTGACCCCTCCCTGAAACGGAGAGTCTCTGGGGACAGCCGCCAGGGAGGGCGCAGCTCGGGAATGCGCAGGTGTGGCCCTGTTGGAAAGGGCTTGCTGGGGATGGGGCAGCCTGCCGGTACCTGGGAAAGGACCCAGCCGTCCTCCTGTCGCTGTAACCGCTGAGCCACCTGTAACTGCAGGATGCGCCCCCGCCACAGTCGCCAGGCCCATCTCAGGTGCCACTGCCTGAGCTGTAGGGACAGTCACGAGGAGGCCCCGAGCTGGGCCCACCGCTGTCCCTGGCAGCCCCCAGCCCCTCCGCTGCCTCTCCCCACCTGCAACCCTGAGGGGAGAGGGGGCCCTTCCCTTTGCCCCAGGCCAAAAGCCCCGGTTGGGGGGCGGGGCGGGGGGGGGACGGGGAGGGGGGGGCGGTGTGACAAGATGTCATCTGAGATGTGCTAACAGTGCAGGTCCCTGGGCCTGTTCCCAAGGTTTCAGGCTTGGTAGGTTCAAAGACCAAACTTGGAGAGACAGTGTGTCCAGGGGTTAGGGCTGGGAAAGGGACGGGGTGGGCGATCAGCATGAGGGCCCCCCACTCACGAGTGTCCATGCCAGCCTCTCTGCCCCCTGAGCATCTACCCAGCGCTGCCACATGGCTGCCCGGAGCCTGGCCTGCTGAGAGCTCTGCAGCCGGCGCAGCCGGGCCTCAAGTCGCCAGCACTGCAGGTATTTCCTCCTAAGGGGAGAGGCCCTGGTAGGTCCTGATGGCCATTATGACTACTTCATGGTCAGGATAAAGGGCAGAGCCCCAGGCCTGGGCCTGCACCCCTGGGATCCTGTGGGACGAGCACTGGCCGGGGGGCCCCAGGTCTAGCCATGGGTCAGGCAGACCCCTTGGCCCAGCCCCCATGCTCACCTTTCCCTCCCTACGCACACCCTTCGCTCTTACCCCAGATGCCTTTTCTTGCCCTCGAGGTCTCTGATCTCGGAGCTGCAGTCCCCTCTTGGCCCCACAGGGCGCTGCTCTGGGGCCCAGCAGGCACACCTGGGCCCCTGCAGCTGGAGCTAGGAGGTGGGGCAGAGAGGAGGCCGGCCGTCACTTGGAAAGGGGAGTTGGACAAGTTTAACACATCACTCAGGGGAGCAGACTTACTCGTCCCGGTGCTTCTGGAGGTTGAACTGTAAGAGAAGGGTGCACAAGAAATGGTGTTGAGCGAATGAAGCCAGTGTCCCTGCTTCCACCACAGCTGCCCAAGTCTCCTGTGGCCCAAAGAGGAGGAACTGGTTGGGGCGGGAGAAATTGTAATTGTTTTCCCAACATTGGGAAATGTTCCAGAAGAGGAGATGCTTGGGGAAAACAGTAAATACATAAGACAGGTTCGCAGAGGTCTTGATGCTGATTTCCAGGCCTGTGAGGGCTGGTAACCGACTCACCGCTGCACTTCAGACCTTGTTTATCCCCAGAGGGAGGGTCTCCTTACTCTGAGCCCAGGACACTTCTCCCCGCATCCGTCCACTGGGGCTGTGGTGCTGGGTTGGGCTGGGCCCCATGGCCCGTGGCCTGCAGCTGCGGGTCTGAAGGAACGAAGAGAAAAACCTGAACCCAGGTGACCTGGCAGGATTCCTTTTCTGTCCTGCCCCAACCAGTCAGGAGACTTCCTGTTTGTGTGCACACAAGTGGGACAGTTCATGTTGCCTCGGGTTCTCCTGTGAGGCTTCTGGAGGAGACAGAAAAGGGCCAAGGGTAATGTGGCTGTTGGTACATGCCCCTGCCTCTTCCCCCATCTTCCTGTGTGGCTGGAGACTGGAAGGTGAGTGGGCCGATAATGGCTACCACTGAGAGCCTACCTGTGTCAGGTACAGCCTGTGAGGTGGGCATTTCTCTCCCTACTTGGTGTCATAAAAGTTACTTCTTTGAGGCCCCACCTCTCCAGAGTGGTCTGACTCCAGAGCTGGAGCCCCCAGCGACTGCTATATACAAGTGGGGCGGGGGCTCTCTAAAGGAGCCTGTGCCACCATGAGATGGCATAAAACCTGTCCCCGTTAGGGCTGCCTGGGCACGGGTGTGCATGTGGTAGAAAGAGGGGGGCCTGGAATTCACCCTGGTTATCACTGACCATTCCTGGCATTTACTGTATTTTGCTTTTACAAGCCTCAGTTGCTCCATCAGTAAATGGGATCCCTGCCTGCCTTTGCTGGCCGGAATGGAAGTGTTTATAAACATGCTCTGAAAATAAACCATAGCCCCGCATAGGTGAAAATGCAGATTCTGCAAGTAACCAAAGCTCAGTTCAGTTCAGTCGCTCAGTCTTGTCTGACTCTTTGTGACCCCATGAACCTCAGCACGCCAGGCCCCCCTGTCCATCACCAACTCCCGGAGTTTACTCAAACTCATGCCCATCAGGTTGGTGATGCCATCCAGCCATCTCATCCTCTGTCGTCCCCTTCTCCTGCCCCCAATCCCTCCCAGCATCAGGGTCTTTTCCAGTGAGTCAGCTCTTCGCATGAGGTGGCCAAAGTACTGGAGTTTCAGCTTCAGCATCAGTCCTTCCAATGAATACCTAGGACTGATCTCCTTCAGGATGGACTGGTTGGATCTCCTTGCAGTCCAAGGGACTCTCAAGAGTCTTCTCCAACACCACAGTTCAAAAGCATCAATTCTTCGGCGCTCAGCTTTCTTCACAGTCCAACTCTTACATCCATACATGACCACTGGAAAAACCATAGCCTTGACTAGACGGACCTTTGTTGGCAAAGTAATGTCTCTGCTTTTTAACATGCTATCTAGGTTGGTCATAACTTTCCTTCCAAGGAGTAAGCATCTTTGAATTTCATGGCTGCAGTCACCATCTGCAGTGATTTTGGAACCCCCAAAAATGAAGTCTGACATTGTTTCCATTGTCTCCCCATCTATTTCCCATGACGTGATGGGACCAGATGCCATAATCTTAGTTTTCTGAATGTTAAGCTTTAAGCCAACTTTTTCAGTCTCTTCTTTCACTTTCATCAAGAGGCTTTTTAGTTCCTCTTCACTTTCTGCCATAAAGGTGGTGTCATCTGCATATCTGAGGTTATTGATGTTTCTCCTGGCAATCTTGATTCCAGCTTATGCTTCTTCCAGCCCAGCGTTTCTCATGATGTACTCTGCATACAAGTTAAATAAGCAGGGAGACAATATACAACCTTGACATACTCCTTTTCCTATTTGGAACCAGTCTGTTGTTCCATGTCCAGTTCTAACTGTTGCTTCCTGACCTGCATATAGGTTTCTCAAGAGGCAGATCAGGTGGTCTGGTATTCCCGTCTCTTTCAGAATTTTCCACAGTTTATTGTGATCCACATAGTCAAAGGCTTTGGGGTAGTCAATAAAGCAGAAATAGATGTTTTTCTGGAACTCTTGCTTTTTTGATCATCCAGCGGGTATTGGCAATTTGATCTCTGGGTCCTCGGCCTTTTCTAAAACCAGCTTGAACATCTGGAAGTTCATGGTTCATGTATTGCTGAAGCCTGGCTTGGAGAATTTTGAGCATTGTTTTACTAGTGTGTGAGATGAGTGCAATTGTGCAGTAGTTTGAGCATTCTTTGGCATTGCCTTTCTTTGGGATTGGAATGAAAATTGACCTTTTCCAGTCCTTTGGCCACTGCTGAGTTTTCCAAATTTGCTGGCACATTGAGTGCAGCACTTTCACAGCATCATCTTTTAGGATTTGAAATAGCTCAACTGGAATTCCATCACATCCACTAGGTTTGTTTGTAGTGATGCTTCCTAAGTCCCACTTGACTTCACATTCCAGGATGTCTGGAGCTAGTCCCTTTCAATTCCATTTAAAATAAACAACTTGAATCTTTTTTCTTAGAACCTTCCTAGACGTTATGACATGCTTCCTGGCATCCTAAAACAGGATTCTTGATGCTGCCAGTTATCTGGAGGAACACTGTGTGTCCCGCGATGATGTCTCCCTAGACTGCTGTGCAGTGTCACTCCTTGTGCCTGAAGTGACGCACTCATTATGGCTTCTCCCCTCCTGGTAGGCCACCCAGCTCTTTGTCACCATTTCTGCTGAACCCAATCACCTATCTTGATCCTAGGCTGCACCTTGACTTGGGAGTTTAGGTGTCTGCTCTTAACAGTTGCCACCCAGGGTGTGTGTCTGTAGCAGACACACTGGCCTGGCACTCAGCAGGTGCTCAGTAAATGTTTGCTGACTGCCAGACCAGAGGGAGGCTGAGAACCCATAGGGGTGGTGTCCACAAGGCCACTGGGATCCTGGAGAAGCATCTAGCCACCCTTGCCGCTTGGGCTGAATCAAGCTGATTCTGAGGCCACTGGCCGGCAGGTCATTTGGGACCTCCCACCCCACCTGGGCGCGGCCTCACCTGCCTCTTCAGGGCTGGAGGGTTCATCAGCACCAGGAGACGCCCTCTGGTGGCCAGCCCAGGCCAGCGCCGGAGGCTGGCCCTGGGCCTGGCCGGGTGGGCTGTGCTGGCCTCCTGGGCCTGTGGTTCTAGCCACACTCTGAGCAGCGCTGTCCGCCACTGGGCCCAGTGGGTTCGCAGGAAGCGCCTGGGCCCAGCCTGCTGGAAGTGGGTGATGGCAGTTCGCTGGACGTGGCCCCGAGTCGCTGATTGGGTCCAGGTCTCTAGGACCCTGGGGGGAGGGAGGAGCCCACACTGAAGTCACCAGGGCCAGGACTCTCCAGCAGGTCCAGGCAAAGCCCCATGCCCGTGCTCCCCTCCCTCATCCCTCTTCTGTTGAAATAAGGTTCCAGTGGGCTCGGGGAGTGGCAGAATATGACACATGGGGACAGAGAGAAAGCAGGCCTGCCAACTGCTCCTTCATTCCCATCCCCCCAGAAGCACTGCTTTATATTTTCAGCACCTGGTGTGCGTCTGGCCCGAGCTGAGCTGAGAGCTTGCCCACGGAAACCCTGAGGCCACCCACAAGGCAGGCCTGTTATCTTCCTCTGACTTTCAAAGTCAGATTTGCCCAAGGAGGGGGTGGCGTGGCTGGAGAATACAGAGCTGGCATTCGACCCCAGGACTAGCTGCAATGACCAGGATGTTCTCTCCCATCACCCCCAGCCCCCAGAGCCCCGCCACTAGCCACCAAATACTCTGTACCCTGACCCTAAACAAGTTCAAGGCCCAAGCTGGCCCCACACAGTATGGGACTGACCTCAGGCTGAGGGCACCCACCTGGCGCTCAGAGTCGGGACAGCATGGTCTTGAAGGAGTCGGTGCTGGCAGGACTCACGTGCCCACAGCATCCAGCAAAGAGCCTGGGCCCTGGAGCTCTCTCCTGCCTGCCGATGGGCCTTGCAACACTGGCCCAGGGCCACTCGCCTTGCAACAAAGGCCTGCTGGGCCCAGGTCCTCCTCAGCTGCCTGTCTGCCTGGCAGCCCTGCTCTTGGCTTCTCCAGCAGGAGGCCCGGGCCACACGCAGCTCCCGAGGCTGGGCTGTGGCCGCTTGGGCCTCACTGGCAAATGTGGCCCCGGGTATCCGTCTCCTCAGACCATCTTGGAAGGCTGGACGCTTGGCCCAGGAGGCTTTCACGACTCCACACCAGGCCTGGAAGTGTCTGCAGGACAGGGGCAGAGGAGAGGCCTAGGTGGCTTCCCAGTCAGAAGTCTCATTTATTCAAAGTTCAGTTCAATTGACCAGTTGTGTTCAACTCTTTGCGACCCCATGGACTGCAGCATGCCAGTCCAGGTATTCAAAGCTACACCCAAAAATTGTCCACAAACCATCACAGGTTATACACGGTTTTGTATACACAGACTCGGTGCCTTAAGAACATCTGGACCAGACTTCCATGAAGGTCCAGTGGTTAAGACCCTGCCTTCCACCCACTGCAGGGGGCTTGGGTTCGATCCCTTGTTAGGGAACTAAGATCCCACATGCGATGCTGTGCAGCATGGCCAAAACAAAAAAATCTCTTAAAAAAAAAAGTGTGGGCTGATGTGTGACAGGTGAAAGCCTTGGCTTTCATTTAGGGGCCTTGGCAGGTGCGCACCCTGGCTGCTGAGGGCAGGCTGCCTGGGGTGGTGTGGGAGCCTGGTGGTGTGGGTCCAGGCCCCCTACATCAGGGGAACAGCCACACCCTGTCTGCCCTTACACAGCAGCTCTAGGGCTGGAGGTCAGTGAGGGGACTGTGGTCAGAGGGGCCAAGAGAACATCAGCTACCCTGCAGTGAATGGTTCACTGCCCCTGTGGGGGCACTGAGAACGCCTGTGAGTTTGTAGAACCAACCCTGGGAGAAAATGTGATCTGTCCCTTCTGCTTTTAAATACACATCCAGGTAATTCCCTGGTGGTCCAGTGGTTAGAACTCCATGCTTTCATTGTCGAGGGCCCAGGGTTCAATCCCTTGTTAGGGAACTAAGATCCCACAGGCTGTGGTGTGTGGCCAAAGATAATAATTTTTTAAAAACCCACATGCATCTATGATCTGTATACGTGTGTCACTAGACCATCTCTATTTCAGATTTCACTCTCTTCTTTGACTGTCTATGGAATTCTGTGCTGTGATTCATTAAACAAGACATGGAGTTGGAACACACGTTCCGGTGGCTGTTTGAGGAGGTGATTTCCCCATCTTAGCTGTGAGCTTTGAAACCAAAGGGCTGACCCAGCCAGGAGGTGGAGACCTAGGGCTTGTCAGGGCATTGGGAGGGGTTAGGGGCTTACCATCCCCCACCTCCTGAGCAACATGGAGAATGGAAGCTTGGTGGCTCTGACTCCAGGCTGGGGTCTCCCTTCAGGCCCCTGTTGCCTGGATGCCAGGTCTCCAGCCTGGCCTGTCTTGAGTTGCAGAGGCCACCCAGCCTCCCATCCCTGGGCGCTCTCCCTGCTGCTTCTGGGGTGGGGATGACCCTCGCGCCCCCACCCCCAGGCCCACCCACCTCTGCAGTAGGAGCTGCTCTGGACTGGCTGCCGCGGGTCTCCGGCGAGCTGCCGCCTGCTGCCAGCCCCAGAATACGGCCCTCCGCAGGCCCTGGAGGCGGGCCTGCACCCACCGCTGGCACTTCTCCTGCAGGAACACCTGTCCTGTGGCCAGAGAGATGCTGAGGTGCCTCTGAGTGCTCATTCCAGCCTCAGCCTGGGCCCTGGGGAACCATGGGCCCCTGCTCCGCTAGCCTCGACCCTCTACCCAAATGGGAATGGCTAACTAGGTTAAAATACTTCCATTACAGGTGCTCTACTGGTGACTAAGCCAACCAACTCATAGAGTTCCTTTATAATTTCTTGATGATGTTTAGGAATCAGGAGAGCTCACACAAAAATATAGGTTTCCAGCTTTTCTGTAAAAACAAAGGTCTGGCAACACTGGGTCAATATCCCTGAGCAACAATTGGGTCAGGGGAGCCGCTGTCCCCAGTGGACAGGACACAAACTTTCTGAACAGCCAAGTCCCCACCTGCCAGCCCACTGATATGACACTGGAGGAATAAGAAGCCTCTAAAATGGCCCCACTGACCCCTGCCTTCTGTGCTGAGCTCTGAGGACCCCCTGACTTCTAAAGGCCAGGTGAGGATGATGAAGGTGAAGATGGTGAGGATGATGAGGATGAAGATGGTGATGATGATGGTAACACCCACAAGGAGCTGGGTTCTGAGCCAAGCACTTCATGTGGATTGTCTCATAGAATCCCACCACCACCCTAGCAGGTGGGTACCATTGTTGTCCCCATTTTATGGATGAATAAGCTGAGACTACGGTTAAGTAGCTTATTTAAAGTCCATACAATCAGGCAATGGAAGCATACAGCATCCACACACACACACACACCACACCCTGCCCCCTACCCGGGTCCGAACCTGTCACCCAGTCCAATATTGGACTCTGCTAGAGGACCTGAATCCTGGATGTCCCTGCCGGACCTTGACCCGTCCCTCACCCCCGGTGCCCCGTCCCAGTCCCCGACTCACTCTGCCAGTAGCAGTGCCAGTGGCCCAGGGCACGTCGCTGCAGTCTCCGGCCCCGTTCCCGGGCCCGCCATTCCACCTCCCGCCGCTGTACCAGCCGCTGCCGCCACAGGCCCAGGGCGGCCCTGCCCCTCCGATCCCAGGCCCAGCGGGCAGCCAGCTCTCTCCGGGCCCCTTGGGCTATTGCCCAGTGGCTCCAGTCAAGGAGGATGCTGAGAAGGGGACCGTCCACCCTCAGGTGGTCACTGCCAGCCTGGCCCTGCCCTCCCCTCCCCTCAGCAGCAAGGAGGGACTTGGGTGACCCTTCCTCCTGTCTCCGTCATGGAGGAGGAGGGGTTGCTGGGGGCTGGAGGGCTTCAACACTACCCAGAGGGTCATACTGACCGGTGGTCAGGATACAATGGGACCCCAGACCCCCAGTGCCAACTGCTGTGATGAACAACGCTGTGACCTGAGTGTTTGCTAATGCCAGTCACTGTGCTTGCTAGGGGATGTGTGTGCCCCTACCTCATTGAGTCCCACCAGTGAGAGCCCTAGTATGAGCCCCATACAAATGGGGAGATAGAGGCACAGAGAGGTTAAGCAACTTGCCCGAGATCACACAGCCGGTGTGGGGCAAAGCTGAGATGACCACAGCCATGAAACTTCTGGGAGAAATGAATAACCTGCCTCACATGGTCCCCACCCTCACCCCCATGGTTCACAGCAGGGCAGGGTAGAGGGCAGTAACAGAGCCTGGGGAGTGAGGGGGGCCCTCTGGGATGCAGACCCCAAGGGGATGCAGATGGAAAGTCAAGGATTTCTGGGAAACAGTAAATCCACAGCGGGGGTGGCCAGCACGGCTCCCCTGTCCTGGGAGGGGTCCCTACCGCCTCTGAAGCTTGCTCTGGTGCCACCTCGCTGTGTCCCGGGACTGCTGGGCCCGTGCCCGCCAGAGCAGAAGGCATTGCCCCTGCTGTCGCCGACCTGCTGCCCACAGAAAGCTCAACCGGAGCATCTCCAGGAGGGCAGGGGCCCTGGAAGCCTGGGGAAGGAGGTGTGGGGTCCTGGGTGCCCTGGTTTCCCACCGTCCCCTCCCCCATCCTCCTCCCCACCCTCTGCCCCTCACCTTGTCCCAGGAGCTTCTCCGGTGTGTACTGTGGTCTGGCGGGGCCTCCCCTCCCAGGGTGCTGCCCAGCGGATCTGGGGCTGAGGCGATCCTGGCGCTGCCCGCATCTCGTGCTCTCAGGCGCCAGTCCCTCAGGATTTGCCGCAGTGCCCGCCACTGCATGCCCTTGAAGAAGGAGCTACAGGAGGGGGCAGGGGAGTGCCAGGGTCGCACCTCACCCGTGGCTGGGGGTGCTGGAAAGGCGCAGAGCTGGGCACCACCAGACTGGCTGCATACTGGGACCACCCGGGGCTCTAAGAGATACCGATGTCCACTGGGGTCCACTGGGGCCCCATCCCTGAAGATTCTGCTTTAATGGTCTGGGTGCCGCCTGGGCTTCCCAAAGTCCCAGGGTGACCTTCATGAGCAGCTGAGGCCGAGAGCACAGCTCTACCTGCCGTGATCCCCTGCTTGATTCTCACCACACTCCCCGGGTGGGGAGTGGGGGGCATGCAGTTGATGGGGGGTGGAGCGGGGCCCAGGCCCACAGACCCAAGACTCAAGAGCCCACACCAGTATTTCTGCCTCCACTTGGTTACAAAGGTGGGGAAATGGAGGCTTGAGGAAAGGTCATTTCCTCAAACTTCAAACAGTGGTAGACCTGGGATCCTAGCACTGGTCTCAGGCTACAGGGGACCCCAGATATGTTGCAGGGAGATATGGACTGTGCCCTGGTACCCAAATGCCAGAGGATAGCCTGGCAGAGGGAGGTTTGCATTCTGAAGAATCATGGTGAATTGAGTTTCCCTGGATTTCCAGCATTAAAAGAGACTTGAGGGTCCAAGTGGACCAAGTGGGTGTGGGGCTGGTGGATGCCAGGTGTATAGCTTTTAAGGACAGGATTCTTAACCCTGCAGCTGCTAGTTTTCATTCTTCCTGACATCCCATTAGTGAAGCTGACCCCTCCTGACCTCCACCAGCCCCCTCACCCACAACCATCAGCCTGGGCCCTGAATCCCAGCATCCTGTCTTGTATAAAAGCATCATTAAGGTCTCACTATAGGGACTTTCTTGCTAAAGATTCACAGTGTGATTTAGAGCATGGTGCTCGACCCCTCTGAGCCTCAGTTTCTCTAGCTGTGTAATAAAGTGATTGTGTTGTGTGTTGGTCGCTCAGTCATGTCCAACTCTTTTTGACCCCATGGACTGTAGCCCACCAGGTTCCTCTGTCCATGGGATTCTCCAAGCAAGAGTACTGCAGTGAGTTGCCATCTTCTACTTTAGGGGATCTTCCCAACCCAGGGATCAAATCTGCATCTCCTGCATTGGCAGGCAAATTCTTAACTACTGAGCCACCAGGGAAGCCCCAGTAAGGCAACTGGGGGCAGGGAAAAGTGGCTCGCTTTTATTCATTTAGAGTATCTACCCTGTGCACACAGGCGGTCCAGGTACCTGCAAAATACTGGGAGGCATTGGTGAGGAGACAGACATGGTTTCCCACTTAACCAGGAGATGGGTGAGAGGTGGGTTCAGGTTCTGAGGAGGGAGTTGAGCATTAAGCCAACCTCCCGTCAGGTTCCGGCCATCCTGGTAGGATTCCACGTTTGTGCCCCTGGCGCGCCGTGCCCACCCTCCCCACCCCCCGCCACCAGCTCTCTGCTCAGTCACTGTCTCAGTGTCCCTGGGCCACCTCCCACAGCCCCACACCCGCTGGGCACCGCGGGGTGCCAGGCCCCAGGCTGAGACCACAGGGAGGAGCAGGATGCCCCCTGTTCCTTATGGAATGCTCCATCCTGTGCTGAGCACTGCTCACATGCCCACCCTAGGTTCCCCCAGACCCTACCCCAGGTCACAAGCTTGTGGTCACCTACTCCGCCCGCTGGCACTGGGACAGCCGCGTCCTCCAGAGCAGCAGCGCCCGCTGGAGGGCCAGCCTCCAGCAGGCTTCCTGCAGGGAGCCCCGGCCTTGCTCCTGGGGCAGCACCCGCGCCGTGGCCATCAGCCTCAGCCCATGCACTGTGGCCCCTCCAGGGACTGAGCTGAAATGGGCCATGTTCCCTGAGAAGTAGACAAGAGATGAATCAGTGACCTCTCTCTGCTCCAAGCCATTGGTGGTCACTGCCTCAGCCCCTTAGGACCTCTCTCCTCATGGGCACTGCCTCCTGCCACCACCTCCAAGCCCTCCCCCATCAGGACACCTCAAAGATCCTATTTGGTCTCAGGTGCAGGGGCTGTGCGTCCCCCTTAGATTCGGGGCTTCCCAGGAGTAGGGGCTACATACTCCTTCCAGGTGGAGGATGGAACGGGTCTCTTGCCTAGAGGAGCTCATGACAGCGGCCAGGATGGGGCCCACCAAGGCCTGCTGCTCCAGGGACCCTCCCAGGTCTGCCAGGCTGCACCCTTGGGAAAGCTCCCAGTCTCATCTCCTCCCATCCTGAGAATCCATAAGTCAACCAGGTCAACTGCAGAAGGAGCTGAAGTGGCGCTGTTTGCTGGGTGGGGGGAGGGGAAGCCCTTTGGCCAGCCGCTCACTCACCTGCCTTCTGCCGAGACAGCTGGGCCACCTTCGCTCCGTCTGACGCCCGGAGCTGCTTCATCTGTACCCACTGCTGCAAGCATGTCCTCAGGGTCCCTGCCTGGCGGTTGGCCACATGGGCCCGGTACCGGGTCCCTCTTTGCACGAAACGCTGCCAGGCCCCAAAGCACCTGGACAGCCAAGAGAAAGTGCTGGTGTTTGTCGTAATGACAGCAGCTCCGGCTACCTGCCATGTGCCAGACACACCACTGTGGCCCTGGGCGAGCCACTCACCTCACTGGGTCTCAGCTTTCTCATCTGTAAAATGGGGCTGCTGTAAGGACAGTGCAGCATGCCATTTACTCAGGCCATACCACCATCACTTCTGGGTGCCTGGCAGTTCTTTGCTGCCTCCTACCTGGCCTCCCATATCCACTGTTGCCTCCACCCCTCTGGTCAGTGCCTACACCATAACCAGAGTAAGATTTTTCTTTCTTTTTTAAAAAATTGTATTTTTATTTTTTGGCCATTCCTCAAGGCTTGTGGGATCTTAGTTCCCTGACCAGGGATAAAACCCGTGCCTCCTGCAGTGAAAGTGTGCAGCCCTAACCACTGGACCCCCAGGGAAGTTCCTAGAGAAATATTTTTCAAGTGTTAGTTGCTCTATTGTGTCTGACTCTTTGTGACCCTGATAGACTATAGCCCACCAGGCTCCTCTGTCCATGGGATTTCCCAGGGAAGAATACTGGAGTGGGTAGCCATTCCCTTCTCCAGAAGATCTTCCTGACCCAGGGATGGAACCTGGGTCTTCTGCATTGCAGGCATCTTACTCTCTTGCTAAAATCCTCCAGCAGTAGTCTCCTTGCTCTGATGAAAATTTCAACTGCTCCCCACTGCCCTGCTCCTCACAAGGCCCTCTCTGATAATCTGCCCCCCAAACACCACTGCACCCCTTTCCAACTTCATCTCAGACCACCCTGGCCTCCAACCCTGTACTAACAGGGTTCCAACTTGACTGTCCTTCTTTGAATTTTCCATATTCTTCTGTCAGAGGCCTTAGAACATGCTGTTCCCTCTGTCCGGCGCTCTAGTCTGCTCTCCCTCTACCAGTCATCCATGCATCCTTCCCATCTCTGCTGAACTCCGGTCAAGGTCAGCTCCCTTTGTTAGATGCTCTCACAGAGAAATTCCCTAGTGGTCCAGTGGTTAAGAATCCACTTGCCAATGCCGGGGATATGGGTTCAATCCCTGGTCTGGGAAGATCCCACATGCCATAGGGCAACTAAGCCCCTGCGCCACCACTACTGAGTCCGTGACCTCTAGACTCAGTGTTCGGCAACAGGAGAAGCCACTGGAGTGAGAAACCTGCACACTGCAACTGGACAGTACACACATGTTCAGTTGCTTCAGTCCTGTCTGACCGCATGGACTGTAGCCCACCAGGCTCCTCTGTCCATGGGATTCTCCAGGCAAGAGTACTGGAGTGAGTTGCCATTTCCTCCTCCAGGGGATCTTCCCAACCCAGGGATTGAACTGGTGTCTCTTGTGTCTCCTGCACTGGCAGGAGGGTTCTTCACCATTAGCATGACCTGGGAAGCCCATGGTATGGTGGTTCTGTTGTTTAAAAGACTCTGTTTTAGAGATGCTGAGGAAATATTTACATATGAAATGATAGGATGCCTGGGGTTTTTGTGGGGGAAGTAGCTAGGGTACAGATGAAACAAGTTTTCTCAGGAGGTGATTTTCTTCATGGATACATTGAAGTTTATTCTGTTTTCCCTACTTTTGCGTAAGATAAAAATGTCCCTTAATAAAATAGTTAACAGGGAAAAAAATCTTCATGTAGATCTGTGTCATCCCTTCACAACACTTAACTTGGGTGGTATTCACACACACACACCCCCTTTGTGATTGTTAACTTCCTTCCTATCTGTCCCTGTACTGAGTCATAGGTTCCATGGGCTTTAAGCTCTGCTTATAATTGAATCCCTGGCTTCCCAGGTGGCTCAGTGGTAAAGAATCCATGGTACATATACACAATGGAATATTACTCAGCTATAAAAAGGGATGCATTTGAGTCAGTTCTAATGAGGTGGATGAACCTGGAGCCTATTATACAGAGTGAAGTACGTCAGAAAGAGAAAGCCAAATGCTGTATATTAATGCATATATATGGAATTTAGAAAGACAGTACTGATGATCCTACATGCAGGGCAGCAAAGGAGACACAGATGTAAAGAACAGACTTTTGGACTCAGTGGGAGAAGGCGAGGCTGGAATGATTCGAGAGAATAGCACTGAAACTTGTGCATTGCCATATGTAAAACAGATGACCAGGGCAAGTTCGATGCATGAGGCAGGGTACCCAAAGCCAGCGCTCTGGGACAACCTGGAGAGATGGGGTGAGGAGGGAGGTGGGAGGGGGGGTTAGAATGAGGGGAACTCATGTATACTTGTGGCTGATTCATACTGATATATGGCAAAAACCATCACAGTATTGTAAAGTAATTATCCTCCAATTAAAAAAAAAAATCCACCTGCTAATGCAGGAGACACAGGAGATGTGGTTTGATCCCTGAGTCAGGAAGATCCCCTGGAGGAGGAAACGGCAACCCACTCTAATATTCTTGCCTGGAAAATCCCATGGACAGAGGAGCCTGATGAACTGTAGTTCATGGGGTCACAAAGAGTAAGACAGGATTTAGCAACTGTGCACACATACATAACTAAATCCCAGCCCCTGGGTTGGTGTCTGGCAGGTCTTGGTGTCTCACTAAATGGTGGATGTGTTCATTTCTTATTTTCATTGTTCTCTCAACACTAGGAGTCAAGAATTGACTTAAGGGGCTTCCCTGGTGGTCCAGTGGTTAAGACTCCACACTCCCGTGCAGGGGCCTGGGTTTAACCCCTGATCAGGAAACTAGATCCCACATGCTACAACTAAAGATCCTGCTTGCCGCAACTAAGACCCAGTGAAGCAAAATAAATAAATATTTTTTAAAAAATTGACTTAAAGGGCATTTCACAGCTGCATCCCACCCTTTGCCTCAGGGAAGGTGGTCCCCATTCTCTCTTCCCCCTACCTGCAGAGACAGGCTCTCCGATGCTGAGGGTCCAGTAGGACCACCCAGGCTGCCCCTGCAGCAGGAAAGCGCCAGGTGTGGGGGGGCCTCCCTATCCTCCGAGTCCTCAGCATGGCCTGGGAGGCCCCTCCCTGGACCCCCTCCTCCTGCCTGGCCCATTCCTTCTGATGGCACCACAGGAGGAAGACTAAAGGGGGTGGGAAGAAGGAGGGAAGAGAGAGTGAGTGGAGGGGAGCAACAGAGCCAGGAGGGACCACTGAGTCCTGGGATGCCAGGCTGAGTGGCCTCGAACCAGTCAGTCACTCTCCATCTCTGGGCCTCAGTTTCCCCATGAGTAAGTCATATCTAAAGACTTCCCGGTTCTAATATACAAGCTTCTGTCTGGCCTGTATCCATCTTCCACGGCACACAAATGCAGGATGTGTCCCTCTCATACTGTGTGTCCTTGAGCTGATCACTTAATTGCCCTGTGCCTCAGTTCCCCATCAGTAAAATGGGCACAATGCCTTGCCAAGGTCACCATGAGACTTAAATGAGATCTTGTCTGGGAAGTTGCCAGGGTAGATACTCAGTAAACACTCACTCACTCTCTGAGGACCCCTGACCGCCCGCCCTGCCCAGTGTGGGGGCCTGGGCCTACCCCGCTGGCTCCGTCTGCCCAGTGTAGGGACTCGGGCCCTGCCCTGCCTGGATCCATCTCCCCACTTCCCCAGAACCCCGTGTCTCACCAGTCAGCTGGTGCAGAGCCTGCAGGATCAGGACTCCCCTATCGCCTCCATCTGGCCTCGGCCCAGCACACAACGGGATCGACTGGGCTCCCGCCTCTTCTCTCAGACTCCCTGGACTGAGAGTGAAGTTGCCCAGAGAGAAACTGATGCCCTCCCCGGCCTAGGGAGGGCACCCAGTCGCAACCCATCCACCCCAGTCCTGAAGGACCATTTGCCGGCAGGAGCAAAGGTGTGCTGAGCCACCCCCCTGTTCTATTCCAGACAGTACATTCTGTTCATGATTATGCAAGTAATTTTGGGGAGGGTTCTGCTCTTTCTGTATTCTGTTTAATACTATTTGGGTTTTTTACAACCAACATGCATTCAAATAAATATTACTTAAATCTTTTAAACACAACTGTTTAAAAATAAGAATGGGACTTCCCTGATGGTTCGTCCAGTGGTTAAGAATGCGCCTGCCAACAGGGCACATGAGTTTAATTCCTGGTCTGGGAAGCTCCCACATGCCATGGGGCAACTAAGCCTGTGCACCACGACTACTAAGCCTGTGCTCTAGAGTCCGAGAGCCGCAACTACTAAAGCCCATGAGCCTAGAGCCTGCGCTCCACAGCAAGAGAGGCCACCACAATCAGAGGCCTGAGCACCACACAAAGTGTAGCCCCCACTCACTGCAACTAGAGACAGCCAGCAAGCAGCAACAAAGACCCAGCAGAGCCAAAAATAAATAAATAAAATTTTAAAAATTAAAAAATGAAAATAAGAACAAAAACAATTCATCGTTGGAATGGAAAACTGAGGAACTGAAAATAACCATCTTTAACCTCACTGCTCCAGAAATGACCATTATTTCCATTTTAGCATTTTTGGAGGGACAGGGGGAAATAAGATTTATTTACTTATATTTATTTTTAACAGTGGTAAAATACACATAAAATTTACCATCTTAACCATTTTAAATGAATATTTTAAACACAATAACCATTTTAAGTGAACAGTTCAGTGGTGTTAAGTAATTCACATTGTTATGTAACATTTTAATATTTTTCCTTCTGGTCTTTTTTCTATGCACTATTTTTCATTCATAGAAAACATTATCTTGGGTACTGAAGTGAAGTGAAAGTCACTCAGTTGTGTCTGACTCTTTGCAACCCCATGGACTATACAGTCCGTGGAATTCTCCAGGCCAGAATACTGGAGTGGGCAGCCTTTCCCTTCTCCAGGGGATCTTCCCAACCCAGCGATCAAACCCAGGTCTCCCGCATTGCAGGTGGATTCTTTACCAGCTGAGCCACAAGGAAAGCCCAAGAATACTGGAGTGGGTAGCCTATCCCTTCTCCAGCAGATCTTCCCAACCCAGGAATCGAGCCGGGGTCTCCCGCATTGCAGGTGGATTCTTTACCAACTGAGCCATTAGGGAAGCCCATCTTGGGTACTATTTTTTCTTTTGGCCACACAGTTTGTGGAATCCTATTTCCCCAACCAGGGACTGAACCCACGCCCTTAGCGGTGAAAGCACAGAGTCCTGCAGCAAATTCTCACTGGCTGGCTATTTTACATATAGTGATGCTTATGTTTCAGTTTGCTATATGATGCAGGGAGCTCAAAGCCGGTACTCTGTGACAACCTAGAGGGGTGGGGTGGGGAGGGAGACTCAAGAAGGAGGAGACATATGTATACCTATGGCTGATTCATGTTGACATAGGGCAGAAACAAACACAATATTGTAAAACAATTATCCTCCAATTAAAAATAAATTAAAATTTTTTTTTAAAAAGTGCAGAATCCTAACCACTGGACTGCCAGGGAATTCCTTCTTAGGTACTATTTTGATGGGGGGGAGCTGTGCTGGGGCTTCATTGCTGCACGGGCTCTTTTCTGGCAAGTGGGGACTACTCTCTAGTTGCATTTGAGAGGGCTTCTCATTGCAGTGGCTTCTCTTGTTGTGGAGCACGGGCTCCAGAGCACACAGGCTTCAGTGTTGTGGCATATGGGCTCAGTAGTTGCGATTCCCCGGGCTCTAGAGAGGAGGCTCAGTACCTGTGGCACACAGGCTTAGTTGCTCCACAGCAGGTGGGATCTTCCCAGACCAGGGATCAAACCCGTGTCTCCTGCATTGCAGGTGGATTCTTCACCACTGAGCCACCAGGGAAGCTCATTAGGTACTGTTTTTTACCCTCTTTTTTTCCCCCCCAGCATTAAAAATACCCATATGCAAATACCCATAAAGCTACTTCTAGGAAGGAGGATAAGATACATAAGAAGGGAGGTGAAACTTTTGAATTATTTGAAATACTTGCAACTATCTTGAATGTTTTTTCAAATCAAGCATGCATTCCTATTATGATTATTATAATAGGAAAGAACACCAATAAAGATATGGAAACAAAAAATAAAGAAAAAAAGAGTGGGGAGGAATTTTAAAAATCTTGATAACCATCATATTGAACAGTTGCCAAATGTTTATCACATGGTTAAATGACAATTTTCTCACTTGATGTTGGACAGTTAGGCTGTTTTGAAGCTTTCATAGGTATAAATAATGCCACGATGGACATCCTTTTGCATAAATCCTTGTCCACATTTGAGGGGAAGTGGGGGACAAGGAGGGAAGGCACAATCATTGTCCAGGTCACACTGATCAACCTGGAGTATCCCAGACTACCTGCTTCTCCAGGCACCGTCCACCACCGGCTTCCTTCCTGAGGGGCCTTGGTCCTGGTCTCCCCCGGAGGACAGGGGTCTTGGCCCAGCCTGGACGTGAGGCTGCCCTTGTTTGTGCTGCTGAATTAAGTGTCTCCACTAGGTCAACAGAGAAGGGGAAGAAGGATGTTGGCTGATGCCTCAAATGTGCCCTGAGCGGGAAGGGCAGAGACAAAGTCAGACACTGTAGTCTTAACCAATTAGATGCCCCAGCCTCTTTGGGAATGGATGGATGGATGGATGGATGGATGGAGAAATGGAGCCCAAGAGTCAGGGTTTTCCTTGGGAGACAAAACCTGGAGCTAGGCCCTCCCAAAGCACTTTTCCTAAGGAGGGACGAATACAGAAATGCCCTCCCAGTCCTGGCTAGCAAATCTCTAGTAAAATGTTGCTTAATTGCTAAGTTGTGTCCGACTCTTTGGACAGCATGGACTGTAGCCCACCAGGCTCCTCTATCCATGGGATTTCACAGGCAAAAATACTGGAGTGGGTTGCCATTTCCTTCTCCAAGGGATCTTCCTGATCCAGGGATAGAAACTGCATCTCCTGCATTGGCAGGCAGATTCTTTACTGCTGAGCCACCAGGGAAGCCCCTAGTTTAAAAAAATTAAAAAAAAAAAAAAAAGCAACCACTTAAAATAGCAGAGGGCTTGCTATGTGCTAGGCAGAACTCTGAGTTCCTTATATTTATTAATTTAACCTCACAAAGGGGCTTCCCTGGTAGCTCAGCTGGTAAAGAATCCACCTGCAATGTGGGAGGCCTGGGTTCCATCCCTAGGTTGGGAAGATCCACTGGAGGAGGGCGTGGCAACCCACTCCAGTATTCTTGCCTGGAGAATTCCCATGGACAGAGGGATCGCAAAGAGTCGGACATGACTGAGCGAATAAGCACAGCACAACCTCACAACCTTGAGAGCTATGTACTATTGTGAGTGCATTTCAGAGCTAAAGAGACTAAGGCGCAGAGAGGTCAAGTAACTTCCCCCAAGGTCACACAACGAGAAAATGTGGGGGAAAGGAAAGTGGTGGAAATAGGATTTAAACTTGAGCAGAGTTCAGTCCTGTGCCTGGGCTGATGCCTGCCCCCTCTACTGCTAATTACTCAGGGGGAACAACCTGTGCTCCAAGAGAGCCTCCTCCCCAGACACACAGGTGTTTCATCACCTCTCTATGCCCCAATCTGGAGGTTCCTAACCTTCTGGAAGGTCTGTGCCAGCAGGGCCTGTGTGTGTTGCCTCCACGCTGCCTCCAGCTGGGCCTCCCGGAGCCACAGTGCCCGCCGCAGTGCCTGCAGACCCCTGCGTAACAGCTGCCGCCGGCCCAGGGCCACAGCCGCCGCCACTGTCCGCCGCCGCCGTGCCCAGCGCCACCATGCTCTGAAACATCTGGACAGCCACTGCCAGCTGGGGATGGACAAGGCTGACCAGGGGTGGGCCTGGCCCCCAGCCCCAGGGAGCAGCTGGGGGCTCAGCGCCACCCACATTGCCTTCCAGCACGAAGGGTGATGCTCCACCCTGAGGCAAGAGGGCTGGCTGGACACTGGGAGGACTTTCCTCTACAGAGGGCTAGCCTTGGAAATCCCATAAAAAAGGGCTCCTGGAGGCAGGGGAATGCCCTGTTTGACTGCCAAGCTGCAGGGCAGCTTAACAAGTTTCAGATCCCAGGAAGCAGCAGCCCCCACCTTCCTGTCCTTAGGGGCCTGGGAGGTTCCCTCCCCCTTAAATTCTGCAAGGATCTGCCAGCCCGGCCTTATCGCCATCAGGCCCGAATCTGCAGGCAAGTGGGAGAGGAGCTGTTCCCAGAGTGTGGCCTCGGTCCCCACGCCACAGCACATAACCTCACCGGCCTAACTCAGGCTGCAGGTTCACGGTGTTTCTGGCTTTGCTCTTGGAAAATAAAAGAACACAACATGCTCTCAGGCTGAGAAGCAAGCAGGACTAGATACCCCCTTCTAAGCCTGCCTGCCCAAGGCCTCCCTTTTGAGGGAGGGCAACAGGGTAGTGACAGCCAACTTGGAGTGAGAATTCCTGGGAGGGAGGGCAGCCCACAACCCAGAGTCCCCAAACTCCCAGACTCCTCTGGCCCCTACCTGCACGGCATTCCTGGAAGCTGGCCTTTCTTTCTCCCTGCTGATCTGCTCCCTTGGGGTCCTGTCCCCTCCTTCCCGCCCAGGGAGGATGCCCCGGGCTGAACTGGACGAGGCTGAAGAGCAGAGTCTGGCCTCCCTGCTGTCCACACCTGGAAGGCGCAGGGGGTCCCCCCTCTGCCCCCAGCCATGTGTAGTCCCCGGGGAGCCTTGCTCTCCTTGCCTTAGGGTGCAGGCAGAAAGGACCACCTGCTCAGGGTCAAGGGCATCCCCAGGCAGCATCGCCAGAGTGGTCCCCAGCGATCCATGGTTGCTGCTTGCCTGAGAGTCTGAGAGACCCTCCTGGGGCCCCGGAGTCTCTGGGAAACTAGTAGTTTCCCTGAGGCCTCGGGAGTGTCTCCTCCTCTCATCCCAGGAATCAAGAACAGGCTGGCTGAGCTGGGGGTGGACAGGGAGTGTCTGGACAGCTCTGGTCCAGGGCTCCTGCCACACAGGGCCTGGGAATTCCCGGGATGCCTGGCACCTGAGCCGCACTGCCTGGCACTCCAGGCGTTGAACGCAGACCAGCAGCTGGTGAATGGCAGCTTGGGATGGGGCCCGAGGTGGGCTCTGGGCAGGGACAGCCAGGTCTTTCAGGGTCAGGGGTTCCCCCACGAGCCTGGAGGTCCAGCCCCCCAGGCCACACCGGGATCTGGGGTCTGACCATGTGGGCCCTTTGAGTGGGGCCAGCCCTGTAGCAAGCCCGATGTCTGGGCAAGAGGTATCTGTGGCCAGCAGCCAAGATTGCCTCAGACTGGAGGATGGGCGAGCAAGTGGCCCTTGGGGTAGGGGGCTTCCCTGGGGCATCAGGTGGGGCCGGAAGCTCTCCTGAGGTTCTGACCAGAGCTGGGGGCTGGTGAGACGTCCACACTCAGCCGTGTGGGTCTCCCTAGCACACAAGTTACTTTGCTGGATCGCAAAGTCTTGGACTCTCCCTTGGGGTCTCCCAACCAAGGGCTGCAGGTTGTCCTGCTTCCGGAAGCTTGAGTTGGTCAGCCGGCCGGTCATGTCCCTCAGGACGAGGCCCAGGCTGGGGCTGGGGCTGGCCAGGTTGCTCTGGACTCGGCAAGGCTCCTGGCGCAGCGCTGTCCCCGGGCACGGTGTGGCAGCAGGCCCTCCCCTCTCAGCTAGGCCCATGGGCACCCACCGGCCACGTCTACTGGCCAGGCCGACACCCAGGCTCTTCCGGAGTCTCCGTGGCTCTAAAGAAAGGACAGACAGTTATGTGCTGGGGGAGGACTCTGTAGTCAGTGCTCAGGAGGGATGGGGGAGGGAGCCCGGAGTCCAGAGGTCTGTGTCAGCTATTGTCCCGGGTGGACCGATGGATGCACCCCAAGCGCAGTGACCTGGTGTCAGTGCAGGGACTCAGAGCGGGGAGCAGGGAAGGGGCTCGGAGGAGGGCAGCGGGAAGCAGGGAGAGAGGGGGGAGGCTGCTGAGTGGGCTCCCAGGTGAGAGGTGATGGGGCTGGGATGGGGGCAGAAGGAGGGTGGAGAGGAGGCAGATCAGATCTGCTGAGAAGGTGAAGGTGTAAAAGAGGGTGAAGCATCAAAGACAACTCCCTGGTGGTGTCCAGCTTGCGCACAGGTGCTGGGTGAGAGGGTGGCTCACAGTTGGAGTGAAAGCAAGACCCAACACATTACAGTTAAAAGGGAGCTGCTTTGGGGACCATGGGCATGGGGTTTAGAGCTCTCCACTCCCCAGCCACCACCCCCTCCCCACCGCCCCCAGTCTCCCCAGCCTGCCTCCCTTCTACCGGTCTCTTGGGTACTGGTGAGATGCCTGGGAGGGCCTGGCAGGTAGAGTGGGCCATGAAAGTTTGCAGACAGGAACTAAAGTTCAGAGAGGTTAAGAGCCTTGCCCTGTGGTCACACAGCTAAGAACACAGAGAAACTGGTATGTCAGTTGGAATCTGAACTGATTCTTGGGTTGCTCCTACTCTAGGCTACACAGCTCTGTGTCCTTCTGGAAGCCCCAGGCACCTGAGCAGAGGTGTTCCCCAGCCCACCACTGCAGAGATCGAGCTCTGGAGCTCCTGTTTCCCCCTTCCTCACCTCATGTCCTGACTTCTTGATCCTCCCTTGGGCCCTGGACTGGAAGACTTTGTCCTGGTCCAGTTGGCCTCAAAGAGCAATCTCAGGAATCAGTAAAGCCCTGGCTGGGCTGTCTGCGAAAGGGGCTCTGGGCTGCTACCCCAGGGGGCCCTGCTCCTGTCACCTCTGACCCAGACCCACTGAACCTCTTGCCTGGCCTCAGGGAGGTTGCCGGCCTGGGGGGCACATTCTCCTTGTGGCTGGCATCAGGTCTCAGCTCCATGTGCTCCAGGGCAAAGCCGGGGGGGCGGGGGCAGTGATCTTGTTCCACACCACAGCTGGCGGTCCTATTTGATTAGAGGGGCTCTGAGGGGTGAGGACAGGGTGCTCAGTTCCTACCCAGCCATGCCCATCCCTGGTCCCCAACCCCACCCTTCACCAGCATCCCTGGCTGCCCTGAGGTCCAGCCTGGCTGTCCTGTTCAGGGCCCCTTCGAGTCTCCACTCCCCAGTCCCTACTACCCCTTTCCCTTGTCATTTTCTCATGTCTTCCGCACCCACTCCTAACACTGATGACAGGTTCCTGTGGACTGCGCTTCCCCAGCAGCCTTCTCAGTAGGGGCTCTTTCTTTCAGACCTCCAGGCAGGATGGGGTGCCCCTCTTTGATTCCTATGGCCACTTCCCAACCATTCGCCCTCTCTCTTCTCTAGAATGCTCTGGCTCTAAGCTCCAGGCGAGCCAGCAAGGAAGTCTTGATTATTTATTTCTTGAATATGTCAGCTTAGGCTCACTGTCACTTTGTCCAACACACACCTAAGTTCTGGGTGGTTTTATCCTCCATGTGGATGATCCCTCTAACTCTAACTCCTGGTCTGTGAGTCCTTGACCTTCTTGCCTCCCATCATCTTGTCCTTCACCCAACCTCAGCCTCTGGTGACCAGGGTCCCCCCAGACTTTGTCATCCTCAATAACTGCACCCCTCCATAATTTCTGTTTCAGAGACCACACCCATCTTTCCAGCTCCCTCCTGTGGACCTTTCGTGAGACCTGGTCCTCTGTTCTCATCACCCTTCATCCTTTGATCCTTGATGTCTCTCTCCCACCTCCTGCAGCTTAACCATCCAGTGTTCTAACCATCCCTTATGCACCCTCCCAGCTCCTCCTCTCTGCCACTCACTCAGAAAAATGACAACACAGGTTAAAGTGACTAAAGGAAACCCTACAATGCACAGGTGGCCTTGCTCAGAAAGTACCACCTTCAGTCTCAAGAGGGGCCCCCAAGGCTGCTGGAGAATCAAACTCTAGTCCCCTCCTCCTAGCCCTCCCAGATGCTAACTCACACTTTCTCTGATGTCCTCAGGCCTCTGCCACCTCTTCTCCACTCACCCCCCCACAGCAGAACTTGTTCCTATTTTACCCATCAAATAGGGACATCAGAAGAGAAATGCTGGCACTTCCTAGCAGTCCAGAGGCTAAGGCACCATGCTCCCAATGCAGGGGCCCTGGGTTCAGTCCCTGGTCAGGGAACTAGATCCCACCTGAAGGTCCTGATGCTGGGAAAGATTGAAGGCAAAGGAGAATGAGAGGTTGGATTGAGCGAGGATGAGCAGAGGATGAGATGGTTAGATGGCATCACCGACTCAATGGACATGAATTTTGAGTAAACTCCAGGGGACAGTGGAGGACAGAGGAACCTGGCATGATGCAATCCATGGGTTCGCAAAGCGACAGGCATGACTTAGTGGCTGAACAAAAACAAAAGCTGCAACTAAAGATCCCGCATGCTGCAACTAAGACACAGTGCAGCCAACTAATAAATAAACAAAAATAAATATATATATTAAAAAAGAGGAATGCTGTTAAGTGTCCCCACTTGCCCCCTTTGTATCCATAGTCTCTCCGCCATCCTGTGTGGTCCCCCCACCTGCCTGACCCTCCTCTGTGCTCCATCCTGTCTGCCCTGCCCAAAGCCAGCACATGGGCCTACCACTGACCTCTGAGGTCCCATTCTGTGACTCAGAAAGAGCACCTTCAATCCCCATAGCCTCATAGCTGATTCAGCCCCCCACCCCACCAGGACACAGAGCTGGGGGACAGGACGCAGGCTATGGTGTGTCAGGGCCTTGTCCCCACTCCCTAAGTCACTTCCCCCATCATCAACACTTCCCCTTTCTTGACTGATTCATTCCCATCAGCACTTAAACGGTGGTTATTTTTTTCCATCTTTAAAAACAAAAACACCAAACAGCAGCAACACTCTCCTTTTGAGCCTCCAGGAAGGACCCAGGCCATGTCTCCCCTTCTCATCACCCCCAAATCCCTGTTCCTTCCCCACCTTCACCTCTGCTGACCTCATTGCACTTGGACTCCCCTCACCCCAAAGCTCCTTTCCTCTAGGTGACCTCTGAGGTGCTGCACCCCTGGCCAGTTCTCAGCCCCCAGCTTGCAGGATCTTAGCTCCCTGTTGCTGTTCAGTCACTAAGTCATGTCCAACTCTTTGCCCCATGGACTGCAACATGTCAGGCTTCCCTGTCCATCACCAGCTCCCAGAGCTTGCTCAAGCTCATGTCTATCAAGTCAGTGATGCCATCCAACCATCTCATCCTCTGTTGTCCCCTTCTCCTCCTGTCTTCAATCTTTCCCAGCATCAGGGTCTTTTCCAATGAGTCAGTTCTTCGCATCGGGTGACCAAAGTGTTGGAGTTTCAGCTTCAGCATCAGTCCTTCCAATGAATATTCAGGACTGATTTCCTTTAGGATGGACTGGTTGGATCTCCTTGCTGTCCAAGGGACTCTCAGAGTCTTTTCCACCACTACAGTTCAAAGACATCAATTCTTCGGTGCTCTACCTTTTTTGTTGCCCAACTCTCATATCCTTACATGACTACTGAAAAAACCATTGCTTTAACTATATGGACCTTTGTCGACAAAGTAATGCCTCTGCTTTTTAATATGCTGTCTAGGTTTGTCAAAGCTTTCCTTCCAAGGAGCATCAAACCCAGTGAAAGTGCGGAGTTCTAACCACCAGACCGCCAGGGAATTCCCAGCCCTCTGTTTTTTTGGAGGCAGGACACTGATTATTCAGTCTCCTCAGAGCCCCTGTCTCCCTGACTCCAGGTTGCCCCCTCTCAGTTTCCCTCCATCCCTCCTGCCTGTTTTCCAGTCTCTTCTGCTGGTTCCTCCTCCTCGCCATGTTAAGTCCCAGCCCACACCCCCACTCCCCTGACGCTCACACCCCAGGTGACCTCAGCCTCGGACATTTCTCACCCAGACTCCCATCCTGCTCTTCTTCCCGAAGGACGGCTCCATCAGGACATCCTGACTCCTCACTCCCTCACCTCATATGCAATCCATCAGCTAACTCCATCTGTCCTACCTTCCAAAGACACCCAGAATCTGCCGCTGCTCCCCGCCTCCATCCTCACCTCCCTGGGTTGAGTCACCCTCCCTTCTTGCCTCCTAACTGGTCTCCCCTCTTCTGCCCTTGTCCCCACACCCAGAGCCTCTTTCCCACAGAGGGCAGAGTGACCTGTGAACACTGAGATCCAAGTCTGCCCTGACTCAACTCAAAGACCGCCAAAGTTTCCCCAACTCACTCAGTCCTCAACCAAGGTTTCGAAGCCCTACCGTAGGGACCTTGTTTATTATGTACAAAGTGACGATGGAACACAGTCCCGCTCTCTGGTTATGTGTGTCTGTGGCTGCATATGTTTACTCTCTGACCCCTGCCCTACGCTATCTGCTCCCCACGCTTAGGTACCCCACCTCCCCCCACCCCCACTCCCTCCCTTGTTCTCTCTGCTCTGAGCACATCAGCTTCCTCCATGTTCTTCCAAAATGCTGTGCATGTTCCCACCTCAAGGCCTTTGCACTTGCTGTCCCTTCTGCTCAGAACTCTCTCTCTCCCTCCCACCCTCCCTCATTCTTTCAAGTCCTGCTCAGACTTCACAGGGAGCCCTTCCCTGACCACTCCCCCGCCCCTTTCCACAGTACCCTCCATACTCCCTCTTTTCACCCTGCCTGACTTTTCTCCTTGACTTTTCCCAGACTAACAGACTGAAGAAATTGCTCTTCTCCCTTCAGGGGACTGAAGCCACCCTCTCTTCTCCTGCTGTATTCACAGCACATAGAATAAACAGTATCTGGCACCTAGCAGGGGCCTGCACATTGTGTAAAAGGAGTGACCGGCTGGTACTCAGCATCATGCAGCCTTTAGGATGCTTCCTGTCATTTAATCTGCTCTGCAGTCCTAAGAAGTAGTTCCTTGTTTTACATGTGAGTTTAAAGCCTGCCCAGCCCAAAGGTTAAAGTAGATCAGCAGCTGCAGAAGGGCTATGCCGGGGGTCCAACTCCACCGTGCATGCTCCTAACCAGGACCACCTCGACCCTTACCTCTTTTCAAAGGAGAGTTGAGACAGCTCAATCCACAATATCCTTTCCTACCTCCAACTCCCCTGGTCCCATGCCTGGACTCACCTCCCCATCTACCTTCTTGTCACACCCCACCCCGCCGGCCCCCCCACCCCGCAGGCACTCCATCCTTGGCCGGTTAAGGTGATCAGAGCATCTCTTCTCTTCCCACCAGAATTGTTTTCCTGCCTTCCTGGACCTGCCCTCCCGCGCGTCTGTCTTCCTCTGGTCCACCTTCACCTTCCGTCCACCTTCACTGGAGGGGGTCTCAGGCCGGCCGGCTAACGACCCAGGTAAGTGGGATGTGTGTTGGGAGACGTCAGAGAGCGCGCCCGCCCAGCGTTCAGCGGCTGCCTGCGGAGGGTGCGCGCGGCGCCTGCGTGGGAGTCCTGAGCCCGACGACTCGTGTCTGCGCGTGCGCGGGCTCGAGGGCGCTGGAAGGGACGGTTCTCCGCGCTAGGGTACTGGCAAGGTAGGTGGCCTCGTGCAAGCTTGTTGCGCAAAGCTTTGTGAAGTGAAGTCGCTCAGTCGTGTCCGACTCTTTGCGACCCCATGGACTGTAGCCTACCACGCTCCCCCGGCCATGGGCTTTTCCAGGCAAGAGTACTGGAGTGGGTTGCCATTTCCTTCTCCAGAGGATCTTCCCAACCCAGGGATCGAACCCGGGTCTCCCGCAGTGTAGGCAGACACTTTACCATCTGAGCCACCAGGCACAAAGCCTGGGGTCCCTTCAAAACTGGCTGGAATCCACCCGACCCACTCCCCTCCATGGTGTGTCGGGTAAGTTTGGCGCAATTTTACTTTTTTTCAGGCATTTTCTCCCTGCCAAGCCTCTTTGCCTATGTGCTGTTCCCCACCCAGCCCTGCCCTGCTC